GATGAAATTAAAACTCTCTCTTTAATCTTTTCATCCGTATATATTAAATGTGGTGTTTAATGCTTAACATTTATAAAAGAAATAGTGTAAATCTTATTTTACTCAAATAGACCCCCCCCCCCCCCCCCCCCAAACAACAAAAAAAGACATGCACACAAAGTGGTACCCATTGAAACAAAACATGAATAATTTTGAAATACTAAGGCTACCTAAGGTTTAACTAAGTTTGTGGCCTTGGTTTTTGAACGAAGTAAATTCTGTATCCGTCCAAAGTGTGAAAAATGATGAGTTTTTGACGATTTTTCAACGAAAAAAGTTCCATTACTCCGCAATGTCCTCACAAATTTTAGAAAAAAAACAAAAGGGAGCTTATTTAAATAGATATAAACAAATCATCAAAGTTCCATGAAAACTGCTAAAAAGTAAAATCACAAAAATACTGAACTCCGAGGAAAATTCAAAAAGGAAAGTCCCTAATCAAAAAAGCGTTTTGGAGTTATTGTCAGAAAACTGTAAAATCCTCCTTTTTTTATGAAGAAAGTCCCAATACTCAAAAACATAAAATTAGAAATTTTTAAAAATCGAAAGTGAACTTATGCCAATATATATAAAAAATTCACCAAAGTTTCATGAAAATTTCTCAAAACATTTTTGAGTTAAACATGTTATAGTCAGAAAACTGGAAAATACCCCGTTTTTTATGAATAAAATCCCCCAACTCAGGAACGTAAAATCTAAAATTTATAAAAATCGAAAGAGAGCTTACGTCAAGAGATATAAACCATTCACCAAAGTTTCATGAAAATTGGTGAAAGCGTTTTTGAGTTATTTTATGAAGTGTGTCAGGTAAACAGGCGTATAAAAAATACCTAAAAATATTCACAAACAGTTTGGTTCAAATTTTTTCAGATGTTTAAATGGAGAGGATTTCAAAAACTTTATGCCGATGACCGACCAGTACAGACAGAAAACAAATGCCAAGTAAGGCAGAACCTTTCCTGTTTCTCTAAAGATATTGATATTGCCAATTTGCCTATTCCGATGAAAATTGTGACATCAATGGTAGTGGCTGAAGAACTGGATCTCCAAATGACATTGATTTGCTGAAGGGTTTTTTTTTATTCTTTCTAACAATAAATTAGATTGCTGCTACTACTTCTCACAGTTTTACTGAAACATGATGATTCATGTGAGGATGATACGACTTGCTATTTTATAAATATATGTTATTGACGGGTGCAACCTGTGGAGAAAGATCTTGTTACCCTTCCAAAGCACCTGAGATAGCCATCCCCAGGTTTTTGGTGCGATTTGTGTTGCTAAGTCTTTAGCTTTCTGTTTTGCTCTATATAGTGTTGCTTGTTTTCTTATAGTTTTTCGTGTTTTGCCATGGCATTGTCAGTTTGTTTTCGAGTTTGATTATTGATTTGGTATCTTTTGCCTCTTTTTATGATGTGATATCACATTTTTCTGATTGGGGCACATCTTGCAATATTCATAGCATTACCAAGTTGTCAATTTCTAACTTAGAAGTCTTTTTAGCAATAATAAAAACAACAAGAGTCCACACACTGAATTGACATGCCTGCTTTACTGACCATTGATTTTTATGTTAATAGTCCTAAATGTAAAAGTTTTACTACATAAACTTAACATGAAAAAATGAGGTTAAAGTCAGATAAACCAAGCCAGAAATACATGTACGCCTTACAATCATTCCATACACCAAATATAGTTGACCTACTGCTTACGGTATACAAGAAACAGAACAAACAATGATAACTTTATATTGACCAATGAAACATGAAAATGAAGTCAAGTTCAGATGAACCCTGCCAGACAGACATGTACACCTTACAATCATTCCATACTCTAAATAAAGTTGACCTGTTGCATATATAGTATCTAAGAAACAAACTTAACCAGGAAACTGAACATTGAGCAATGAACCGTAAAAATGAGGTCAAGGTCTAATAAAACCGGCCAGACTGAAATGTACATCGTTGAAATATTTCCATACACCAAATATAGTTGACCTATTGCATACAGTATCAGAATAAAATGCTTCGCTGGGCGCAGCTTGATACGACCGCAGAGGTCGAACCCTGAACAGTTGGGGCAAGTATGGACACAACATTCAAGCTTGATACAGCTCTGAATTTGGATTGTGATTAAATATTTGACACAGCATAGGTTTCTGACACAGAAAGAATGAGGTCTAAGAACTTCATTTTTTTTAATTTACCTATTATGGTCCAATGTCCAAAATCAAAATACATGGTTAGATTCAGTTTATCAAAGAACCCCATATATTCAATTTTTGTTGAAATCAAACAAAGTTTAATTTTGGACCCCAACTTGGACAAACTTGAAAACTGGTCCCATAATCAAAAATCTAAACACATGTTTAGATTCAGCATATCAAAGTACCCAAAGAATTCAATTTTTGTTAAAATCAAACTAAGTTTAATTTTGGACCCTTTGGACCTTAATGTAGACCAATTTGATAGCAGGCCCACAAATAAAAAATCTAAATACATGGTAAGATTCAGCATATCAAAGAACCCCATATATTCAAATTTTTGTTGAAATCAAACAAAGTTTAATTTTGGACCCCAATTTGGACCAACTTGAAAACTGGGCCAAAAATCTAAAATCCAAATACATGTTTAGATTCAGCATATCAAAGAACCCCATATATTCAATTTTTGTTGAAATCAAACAAAGTTAAATTTGGACCCCAACTTGGACCAACTTGAAAACTGGGCCCATTATCAAAAATCTAAACACATGTTTAGATTCGGCATATCAAAGAACCGCAAGAATTCAATTTTCGTTAAAATCAAACTAAGTTTTATTTTGGACCCTTTTGACCTCAATGTGAACAAAGTTGATAACGGGGCCCAAAAATCAAAAATCTAAATACATGGTTAGATTCAGCATATCAAAGAACCCCATATGTTCAATTTTTGTTGAAATCAAACAAAGTTTAATTTTGGACCCTTTTGACCTCAATATGAACCAATTTGATAGCGGGGTCCACAAATAAAAAATCTAAATACATGGTTAGATTCAGCATATCAAACAACCCCATATATTCAATTTTTGTTGAAATCAAACAAAGTTTAATTTTGGACCCCAATTTGGACCAACTTGAAAACTGGGCCAAAAATCAAAAATCTAAATACATGTTTAGATTCAGCATATCAAAGAACCCCATATATTCATTTTTTGTTGAAATCAAACAAAGTTTAATTTTGGACCCTTTGGACCTTAATGTAGACCAATTTGAAAACTGGACCCAAAATTAAAAATCTAAATACACGGTTAGATTCGGCATAACAAATAATAAATGTGGTCAAAGATTTTACAAATCTAATGCGCCATATGTCCAATTAAAGATTACTTCTTGAAATTTTTCAATATTTGAAATTTGAAAAAAAAATAATATTTGAAGAATAATTCTTTTTAATTTCTGAAATCTGAAATTACCCATTTAAATTTACCATAGTGCTAACTTAATCTATTTTATAATAGAATTTAAAATATAGTGTCATTCTTTCATATGGATTTTGTTGTCAAAAAAAAAGATGCAACATTTGCAGATATTTTTACTGGTCTTCCTTTATAAATATGCATTTCTTTAAACATAATTTAAAAGCAGTGTAAGGGAAGTAACCAAAACGTTGTATTTGGATTACCTCCCTTACACTGTTTTAAATTATCTTAATTGTTCATTAACCATTACTTTATACATAATTTAAAAGCAGTGTAAGGGAGATAATTTCAATGATGTATTTGATTTATCTCCCTTACACTGCTTTAAATTATGTTTTGTACTAGAGTATTTGTCCATTAACCAGGACAACCTTGTTTTTCCCTCTTTTTTGCCCCTAATTCTTAAACGGTTTGAGCCATAACCCCCCAAAGCAAATCCTAACCATCCCTTTGTGGTATGGAAACTTGTAGTATAATTTCAGAGAGATCCATACACCGTTCCACAGTTATTGTCTGGAAACTAGAAAATGCTTATTTTTGGCCCCTTTTTGGCCCCTAATTCCTTAACTGTTGGTACCATAATCCCCAAAATCAATCCCCACCTTCCTTTTGTGGTATTGAACCTTATGGTAAAATTTCATAGAGATCCATTCACTTAAACTAAAGTTAGAGTGCGAAAACTAATGCGTCTTCGGACGACGACAGCGCCGGACGACGACGATGACGACGCCAACGTCATACCAATATACGACCACAAAATTTTGTTTGCAGTCGTATTAAAACAAACCAAAACATAAAACTTAACTTTAACCACTGAACCATGAAAATGAGGTCAAGGTAAGATGACATCTGCCAGTTGGACATTTATATCTTACAATCATTCCATACACCAAATATAGTAGACCTATTGCTTATAGTATCCGAGATATGGACTTGACCACGAAAACTTAACCTTGTTCACCGAGCCATGAAATGAGATCGAGGTCAAGTGAAAACTGTCTGACAAACATGAGGACTCTCCATGTACGCACATACCAAATATAGTTATCCTATTACTCATAATAAGAGAGAAATTAAGATTACAAAAAATCTTAACATTTTTTTCAAGTAGTCACTGAACCATGAAAATGAGGTCTAGGACAATGGACATATATGACAGACAGAACATTCATATCATAAGGCATCTATACACAAAGTGAGAAGCATCCAGGTCTTCTACCTTCTGAAATATTAAGCTTTTAAGTAGTTATTTAATGCTGCCATCACCACCGCCGCCGGATAACTATCCCTATGTCTTGCTTTCTGCGACAGAAGTCGCAGGCTCGACAAAAACAGGAAAGACAAATTACTGAACACCTGTTAAAATAGTTTGAAACATGTTATTTTCTAAATAAAAAGAAATATCTACCATTATAAATATCAATCTACACTGAGGTGGTTCAGTGTATAATATATATGAAGAAATCCCTAATCCTTGCCAAAAAACAAAACAAAAGGCAAAAGACATTGTCGTAAAAAAATTTAATATGATAACATGGACCTGTATAATGAGTAACCATGACAACACATCCATAGCAACATTTCTCATAGAGAATATTAAAAAATCAAACATTTCAAGCTGACTATCATGAGATTTATAGATAGTTAAGGTTTTCTTTTACCATGACAAATAAAAATTGCTAGTTTTCTATGTATCAGATGGTCCAGTTCTGATCAAACACTAATAAGAATGATTTAAAACTAAACATGATCTTCTATTACACATCAACTCTTACATTTATATTATGGATATCTTATAAAAGTACTTTGATACAATTTGTAATCACTGTATCGTATCTGAATCTGAAAACTTGTTAATCATTGTATGTACACCAATGAATTTGTTCTGTTAACTTAAAATAATTGATTTGTGCACTAATGAATATTTTCAACTATTTTTAACTTAAATTAATTGATTTGTGCACCAATGAATATTTTCAACTATTTTTAACTTAAAATAATTGATTTGTGCACCAATGAATATTTTCAACTATTTTTAACTTGAAATAATTGATTGTGCACCAATGAATATTTTCAACTAAGTTCACATTGTACACAAATCAATCAATTTTTTGTTGTTGCTTTGAATAGCTCAATGAACTATTTGTCAGTTTGAACTAGTTGTTTATTTGAACAATTTTTAGAAAATTTTAATAAAAAATTAATAACCATTTCAATGCACACAACGCATGTTTCAAAAAAAACCTTTCCTGAAAACAATTGAAAATGTAATACACAATGTAATATGATATATCATATGAATCAGTACAGGTATTTCAAAAGCAGAGCATAAAATCAATAAGCAATAAAACTTTAGTGAAAGAATAGTTTCTTCTTCATTTTTTGCAGTCTGCATTCATGGACATGGAATCTGAAACACTTTTTACATCTATATCACGAGTAATTTCTTTTGACATTATTGTGTGAGAAACTGTATAATATGCAAGTGTGAACAACTCTTCCTGTCCCTTTATCGTAAATAAAGAAAATATTATGGGCAAAAATCATAATAAAACATTCACAAAACAAGAATGTGTCCATAGTACACGGATGCCCCACTCGCACTATCATTTTCTTGTTCAGTGGACCGTGAAATTGGGGTCAAAACTCTAATTTGGCGTTAAAATTAGAAAGATCATATCATAGGGAACATGTGTACTAAGTTTCAAGTTGATTGGACTTCAACTTCATCAAAAACTACCTTGACCAAAAACTTTAACCAGAAGCGAGACAGACGGACAAACGGACGTCAGACGAACTGACGCACAGACCGAAAAACATAATGCCCCTAGGTGGGGCATAACAACATTACTATATAGTTTCATATAACATTTATGTTTATGCAAATCAAAAAGCTGTATTACTGATCAGTAACTTTTTTTGCTATAAGTTATGATGTGTATATATCTAAATAGATATAGGAAGATGTGGTATGAGTGCCAATGAGACAACTCTCCATCCAAGTTACAATTTATAAAAGTAAACCATTATAGGTCAAGGAAGTATGTTTCATAATTCATGTGTGTGATTACGAAGAGAATAAAACCTTTCATGCATGAGAATGAGTTGATGTTGGTCAGTGTATTTAAATTCTTGCAGGGTGATTTGTTCCACTGAATAAATAAAATATTTAATCTTCTATAAAGAGGTCATTCAATGGGACCTTTAAATTTCCCCTTGAAAACACAATCATTCATTGGTTAACTTTGCTCTACAAACAAAAAACTCATTTGCAATGAATGTATATGTTGAAAAAATATTTCCTTCTTGACATAAAGTTTCAATCACTCAATCAATTAAAATTATCATTTTGATATTGAACAACTGTAGTAATGAATTGTTTTACAAGAATTTCGAAGAGGTGCAAATATTAAAAACAGTTTTGACATAATATACGAAAATTTAACCACCCTATCCCAATTTATGGTTTTAAAAAACCATAATCTTCCCACAAAGGCTACTTTTCATTCAAATATTAAATTTATGATCCCCTATGGATTAAATATAACCTTTGGTAAATGACTTTTTATCAATAATGACAATGTGTATTGTTGAAATGAACCGGGTCAACAATAGACTTTACAAATATTTATGTACTTGACTCTTAACCTTAAATAAGTAATAATAACAACTATACTGTCTACATTGGCAATAGATGGCATTATTCTGTAAAACAAAGGAACATTTACTTCAAAACATAATTAACATAAACAAGATGTTGCATGTGATGTCAGGCGAAAAATACCCCCACTTGTTATCAATCTCTTAAATGGTACAACTCAATGTTATAAGAATCTTGAGCAAATATCAAATCATTTCTTAAGATGCTGAAGCAGATAATATGAAAGGAAAGTTATATAATAGGGACAAACATACAGACAGACAATTCCATTGCAGTATATCATCAATTTCTTATTGGAATTAAAAAAAGATTTATAGCTTTAAAAGGGTAATGTTTACGGTAGTTAAATATGATACTAATGTCCTTTTTAAAAGATTTCCAAATAATAAAAGAACCATTGCAAGTCAAATTGGTATATATTAACTTCTGTAAAATATCTATCATACTGTCAAACTTGTGCAATATAATATTCCACATGGGACAATATTTACTGATATTTGTGCAATAACTATATATTACTTTTTTCATGTAACAAACATTACCATGCACATCAGTATTAATTATGTACATGTGATGTAAATTAATAACATGTCGAAACATAGTTAAATTATAGAAAATGATCTTACAGGTATTCAAATCAAACTATGGAAGGACCAATACCGCCAAGGCTACAAAAAGTAATAAGCAATTCCAATTTAATAGGAATTTATGTAACTAGTGTAAAATAGTTCATAACTCATCTTCAGCTCTGATTAACTGACTTGTGTCATATATATAGTGAATCAAGTAGACAAGTATAAACTTCCAAGTTACAAATTCATGAAAATCCAATGTTAATTAATCCAAATTGGGTTTTAAATCTTTTTTACAAATAAATAAAAAACATGAGTAATATATGAAATGTAAATTTTTTTGTTCATTTCTGGAGATTAAGTTATACTCTACCCTAAATAGCCATCATATCAGAACTTCACCAAAATCTAAGAATTTATAAAACCAGACATTTTAACTTATAATAACTAATATGAATGAAACTAAATAAACTTTATTATGTATTTGTCATATTAAGACTCGTTACACATATATATTTGTACAGTTTGTTTATACATGTGGATGGGACTAGGTTATCACAATTATTTCCAAGGTTAGCAATTAACAAAGTTCATTTTACTTCTAGTGATATTGTGTGATAAATCTTGAAAAAAAGCATAATTTGAAGATTGTGACCTATGTTTTCAAATAAAATTTTGTATGTATATATTCATTTCCAAATTCTTTCATCAACTTTAAGATAAATCTAATATATAAGTTGCAGTGTATATCAACCGTAAATATTATCTTATGGAGGATCCAGTTGTCAAAATTGTAATAAAAATAAGGGAAATGAAAGGTTCATGTATGTTTCCAGATTAACCTTATATGAGTAGGTTTATTTGACTATGAAAATGTAAAAAAAATAATTCCATTTGTCTTTTTGTGCACACAAATCTAAAAAAATCATCAAATAATAAACATTATTATGATACATTTATAAAATATATGAAAGAAAATTTGTGTAGTTAAAACAAAGGAGTTATCAAAAACGAAAATATGGAAAAAATTTATCAATCATGTTTGTATGACAACTATACAAATTGAAGCAAATAAATCTGGACAGCCTAGGGATCACTTGAAGCTGTTGACATTTGAAATGATAAATGAAAGGGTAAAATTAAAATAACACTTAATAGTTTTATGGCAATTGACTAGCTCTTTATAAAGTAAATGAACCTAAATTAACACAATAAATCAATTTGTCTATTTGCATACTTTAATATTTATCAAATTCGTTTTCCTAATCTAAAACTTTTTTTGATACAGTCATTGAAGAAATAAAACAAAATGTTTTGTGGAATATAAATAAAATGTATGAACCAAAACCAACAAAAGTATTACTTGTGAGTATTCACAAACTACAGCAAACAAAAGTTATACAGCAAAAAACTTGATGCTTCAACATTTACAATAACGAATAAAAATGAAAAAAAGACTGTTTAGATTTTGAGTAGTTATTTAAAGAAAAAGCAAAGGTAACACAAACAATAAATTTTCTTGCATAAATTCCTTTATTTCAATAGGACAAAGTTTTTATCCTAAGATAAAACCATTTTTATTCAATCTGAAATGAAGAAAATAATTTCCACAGTTCATACAAAAACAAAACTATCAAAATTTATTGATCCTTAGGCGTTTTATAACCCCTATTATATAAACTGAAGATTGTAATAAATTTCTATCATGACAATGGTGTCACATGATGCTTTTATCATTGAAGATAATAATTCAAAAGATGAATTACAAATAAAATAAGACCATCACAATCACTTCAAAAATTTTAATATTTGAAATTAAAACACAGACTTCCTACTATACACTGCACTTTTATACACTGACAAATGATTGGATTGGGGGCTCATAATTAAATGCATACAATAAGTTTAAGTTTTTTTGGCAAGCCTAAATGCAAGGCAACATCATGCAAGTGTGCATTGTTCACAATATTTCTCACAAATAAGTTTTGAGATGGAAAACATTGCCACTATACATGTAAATGTAAATTTACTAAACTAAAACTCCTACAAAGTCGATTTCGACTCAAAAATAATTATATTATGTCCACATTTCATTGAATCTGGACAATATGGACATTATTACTGACTTTCTGTGATAGCTCCTTAGAATCAACTTAAGCTTAAGTACTGTAAATTCAGAAATTATTGTGAAGTTTTTATTTATGCAAATAATGCGGCTTCTTGAGTATCGCAATAATAAGAACTCGCATTCTGATATTAAAAACATATATCTGTATGCAATTTTTCCTAAAATCCCAATAATTAAACTCACATTTTTGTTCATTTTTCAAAAAATTTGTAAGGGTTCCGCGGAACCCAGTGTCTCGCCTACTTTTGCTGTCAATCGCAGGCTCAACAAAAATGAGGAAAAAAATCAATAAAAATATTCCTTTAGATACTATCTTTTGATTGTAAGAAGCTTCTGTCAAAGTTTGGTATAAATCCAGGATAGTTTATGAATCTAATAAATGTTTTAAAAACTTTAACTGCAGACTGTATTTAATGTTAACTGGAAGAAAAACTAAGTCCATTTATAAGTAAAATATGGATAAACAGGTACAAATTTTAACAAAATTTCCTTCTAGATACTAGCTTTTGATCATAAACAAGCTTCTGTCCAAGTTTGGAACAAATCCAGGACAGTTTAAGAAAGTTATTAAAATTTTAAAAACTATATCCACAGAGTGAATGTATTGTTTCCTGGCAGAAAAACTAAGTCCATTTATAAGTAAAATACGGAAAAAAGGAAATTTTTTTTTAACAAATTTACTTCTGGATACTATCTTATGATCATAAACAAGCTTCTGTCCAAGTTAGGTACAAATCCAGGATAGTTTAAGAAAGTTATTAAAATTTAAAAAACTTTAACCACAGAGTGAATGTAATGTTTCCCGGCAGAAAAACTAAGTCCATTTACAAGTAAAATACGGAAAAACAGGAATTTTATTTTTACAAAATTTACTTCTGGATACTATCTTATGATCATAAACAAGCTTCTGTTCAAGTGTGGTAGAAATCCAGGATAGTTTAAGAAAGTTATTAAAATTTTAAAAACTTTAACCACAGAGTGAATATTTGTGGACGCCGCCGCCGACGACGCTGACGCCGACGGAATGTAGGATCGCTTTGTCTCGCTTTTTCGACTAAAGTCGAAGGCTCGACAAAAATCACAATGATAAATGCACACAATAATTTCAGAATTGATAGTTATTTGGAAAAAGTTTACATTGACTCAAGACAAGCTAAGGATGTTCGCTACTCTGTTTCAAAATAACAAGCTTTTTAAAAGACTGTTATAAATTGAGAGTATATTAATAAAGGAACTAAAAAAGCAGAAAAAAGTGAAGGGACTGTGTGCTTGTTTTCGAGATATAAGCCATTGAAAATTTGGCGGGACATATTTCTCTCTAGATTTTTCTTACATTTAGCATTGGCACCTTTTTTCTTTCAAAAACTATGAAAAAATAACAAGGATTTAATAATATTTTCAAAGATGACATTTTAAACTATATGTAATCAAATTATGGAAAGAAAAGTAGGGGTTAGTGGGCATAATTTTTAATGACTCTACATGGATAAAACCAGAGGATTCCGAATATCTGGCAAAAATTCAAAATCAAGAGGAGCGAACATCCTTAATTGGCATTGTTCAGAACAATAAAACAATGGATGAACAGCTCCAAGACATTTGTTAATAGCCGAAGCATTTCTGTTTCCACTTCAACAAGACTTATTCTAATATTACTGACCTGAATAAATATAACAATTAGAATTGACACAACTTAACAATAAATAAAACAACAACAAAAGTCTCAGCTCTTAGTACTGGACTTTATTATGCTGGCGGCATAATTGGTAAGTCCCTACATCATGTTATACACATGTTAATGACAAAGTGTTCATGTCACTGCTAGCAATAGCCCAGCACTTAGCTCAAACCTTGCAAATGGCAGTCACATCCACACATACACATTTAGTCGGATAAATTATTTTGTTGTAGTTTCAGCTGGGCGTGCTGGGTGGCTCTGTACTGAAGTATGGTAATGCGTCTCTCACAAGAATTGTATGACATATATCACAAACTTTTGACGGTCGAGAGTTTGGACCACTGTTCACTGTTTTAGATACACAGTCATTACAAAATATTCTCCCACAATGTCTGCAATGATGCTGTAAAGTAAACCAACATGTATTACAGTTACAGTCCTTCTCTAAGTTGACCATAAACCAAACAAAAATTACCCCCCCTCCCCTAAAAAAAAGAGAGAAAATGAAAAATTATAAAAGTAAAATACCAACAGACAAAAGAAGAAAAAAACTAAAATTTAGCAACCGTAATCTCATTGACAACATGGGTCAAACTCAGGAACTCAGTTGCTATTGAATGGTTAGGAGTTCCTGCTCTACATGTGAAACGGGTCATGTTACTTTGGTCTCAATTATGTATATACAGTGGTAAGTCACATTCAGTGTGTCACAATCAAGGAAAAGAGAATGACAAGTAGAATACATCTGTGGTTATTTGTGTCAAAGAAATATCACAACAGTCAACCAAATCAAGAAACTTGTCCTTTTTTTAGCAGAAACTTCACTTTTTAAGGCTAACATAAGATGGAAAAAATATATAAAAAAGGTTAAATCTAATCAGCTAATTTTTTTATTTTTTTTGGTTAAAAGTAAGTAACACATGTTTTTTTATTCTTCCTATATGTATATACACGCATAAGTAATTTTTGCAGTGTCCTAATTTTTCTAAGTTTTTGAAGACATCTAGAGGTTAATATACAGTCCTCAACAATAGGACATGTATCTTTCCCGCTCATCAACCTCTTTACAAACAAATCTTGATAAATTGTGATTAAATTCAAGGGAGACTACCAAACCCTTGCCATACTGTGGATTCAGTTATTTTCTTGGGTATTAATTTTTCGTGGATTGGAGAAAATGTTTCATGAAAACTTAATTTTGTAGATTTGCAACGTTTCAATAAAAACTTATAGGAAATTCATACTTTGCTGAACATTAAATTGGTGGTTTGCCTCTACCAAAAAAATCCACCAAAATTGGTATCCAATGAATAATAATGAATAAACAGTAAACACTAAATTTTCCAGAGGACAAAAAAAAATTGCTGACGAGTTTCCTAACTTAAGACAAGCAAATTGACATGTGGCAGAATTGAATTTCAATTTTTTAAAAGTGCCAATCTGCCTAAGAATCAGGCAGTGGTGAAAACATGACAAACAAAAACCCACTCAGCCTTACATTAATTTAAGTTCAGAATGTATAATGGTGCATGAATATAACATTCGTTTCCTTTCCATGTTCTGGTAATTCAAGAAATAATTCGGTTGAAATGCACAAGAAATTAACAATTAAGGGGAGATAACTCCGTAATTTGCTATCATTCTAACCAAAATTTATCTAGATATTTCTCGAATTACCAGACACGCAGAAACAAAAGACCTACCATTTCTAGCTCAGAATGAGAGTACCTTCAAAATAGGGTGGTTAGGTCGGTGGGTTTTTTCAGCCATGTTTTGAAATTTTTCTAAATTGCCTGATTCTTACAAAGACTGGCACTTAAGTACTAAACCCTACCACCATCTCCTTCAGTACCACACCATTAAAATTTCACTTGTGAACTTAAGTATTTTACCTTTCTTTTTGTGACAGAGAATTGTTGTTTACAATTATTACAATCATCAATATCCTCTTCCTGTTGCCACCGGACTTCTGTTTCTGCCTGTCGAATCTTTTCTAATTGGATCTGTTAAAATATGCAAGTGTGAAGAAAATGCCTTATTGTATACAACTGTAAACTTCAAGAACATTATGGCAATGTATTTCATTTTCTGTGTATGGAACACATGTCTGGTGTACAAATTTTTATACCTGGTATCTATGATGAGTTTATTCAATACTTACGTGAAGATATCTTAATTCATGGATGCTTATGTTTCGTTATTGTGGAAAAATGATGATAGCTTTTTTAATTGTAGTTTCATGCCATGCCTAAACCAATAGAATGACAGAATGCAAGAAGCTTGTCTTCTGTCTGGAGTATCTGTTGAGTACTACTTACACAGTCTCGTTGTACTGAATCATTGTTATCCAGAAATAGTCATTTTTTATTACTTGCAAAGGCTTTATTTATTACCTGTAGTGACTGTGAGAGTTTTACAAAGTCTCTCTGTACTGCTTCACTATTATCTAGGTCTATCTGTAGTGACTGTACTTTGCTTCTGTATTTTTGAACATCGCTCTCTAATTTACTCTAAATATATAAAAAATGAAGTATATATAAAAGTCATAAAAGGAAACAGTTCACCCTTGCATTAAGATATCATACCATAGCTAATATTTACATTTTTCTTGCTAGGACTTGTTGTCTGACCTTGTAAACTGCTGGCCTGAGAGAGCATTACTATAAAAATTAAGTTCAGTCTGTCAGTCAATTACAAATTACAAAGCAGGTATCATATACATATCACATCGTTACCATGATCTCATCTGGATTTTATTTTTTTTCAAGGAGATATGGTATGATTATCATTGAGACAACAATTTATGAACACCAAAGGACAGGATGTGAACAACTATAGGTCACTCAAGGCCTTAAACAATGAGCAAAACTCAATACAGTACAGTAAGCTATAAAATGCCCTTGGATTACAAAATGTGCAAAAAGGATATCAAAGGGACATTTAAACTCATAAGTCGAAAATAAACTGACAACGCCATGGCTAAAAAAGAAAACAGACAAACAGACAAACAATTGTACATAAAACACAACATAGAAAAATAAAGACTGAGCAACATGAACCCCACCAAAAACTGGGGGTAATCTCAGGTGTTCCGGAAGGGTAAGCAGATCCTGCTCCACATGTGGCACACGTCATGTTGCTCATGTTATTACAAACCCTGTGATAAGTCTAATTCGGTAGGTTACATTCAGGGAAAAGGGGATGGGGTTGTAGTTACGACAATTGGAACATATCCGTTGTCATTTGTGAAACCAATATTCCATAACGGCCAACCAACTCGTGATGTCATCCGTAAAATTTACAAAGGGACGATTTCAACTTCACCACTTGCAAATCTTGGTTTAATAGCTACCTTGTGAGCAGCAACCCTCTATCAAGGAAATCTTGATAGGAAATACAAGCCCTAGAATATCGTATCAACTGGGAGATACATACTCCGTATGCAGGCGCTGCTGGAATGTTGCTACATAGAAATGAAAAGTTAATTCAAAAGAGAAAACGGATGGCATGATTTATACTGAAAACAATAAACTAAAGCCAATCATGGCAGACAGCAACCATTGACTAACAGGCTTGGGACAGACAAAAACTGAATGTGATGTAGTTCAATATGTTAATGAGCACTCAACCCTCCACTGAATCTGGGACAGTGGGGTGATACTACAACAATAAAACAAATGGTTGAAAAAATAATATCAATCTAATCATTAGAAAGCTTTATACTTACTCTAATCTCAGATTGCTCTGCAACTTGCTGTCGCAGTGCGTTTATTAGTTGTTTTGATTTGGCTTGTATACTCTTTAACGATGTCTCTGACTCTGTTAATTTTTTACTCAGATCAGCTCTCACAGATGATTCTCGTTCTAATTCAGATTTTAAACTTTCTTGTACAACTGGAAAGAAATTTATAAGAAAATTATTACACATAGCTTACACTACAAAAAAATAAATAACAACTGGATATTCCATAAAATTTCAAGGATGCCTTGGGATTTCTGCAGAATCATCATCGATTCTTATAAATCATCAAAAGCTTTGCTTATATAAGCTGCTAACATTATTCACTTTACAATTAATTGGCCTACAAATAATTGAAATTTACAAACTGAATCATCTGAAAAAGAAAAAAAAATGTATTCTAGCTTTCCCTTATCCTTACATTTCTTATATTATAGTCGAGTTCTGGAAAAGTGGTACACCCATTTTTTGCAAAATTTTGCAAAGGACCTACACTACTGTGGATTCAATATTATTCGTTGGATACCAATTTTCGTGGATTTCGTGGGTATAGGTGAACCACGAAATTAAATGTTCAACGAATGACAAATTTCCTATAGGCTTGTATGCAGACTTCGGCAAAACCACAAAATTAAATATCAACGAACATGAAAGTTTTCCTTAATCCACGAAAATTGATACCCACGAACATAAATGAATCTACAGTATTTTGGTATTTTGCAATAGAAATGATAGCGCGGAGGAGGTTTTCTTCAAGGACCACCAGGGGGAAAAAAAAGATTTTGAGAACTCTATTATAGCTATATGTAAATAAATGGGGAATATGTCCATGAGACAAAGATGATGCCCCTGCTTGCATATAATGTCATAAAGGGACATAACTCAAGAACGGTAAAAGTGAGGCTACAAAATTCGTACTTGATCTGAGTTTTGTGGTAATAAGCATTGTGTATAAGTTTCATAACATTTGGTTGAGGCAAACTTAAGTTAGAGAATGACTGAATATTTCCATTTGTAAAGGGGCATAACTCTAGAACGGTAAAAGTGATGCCACCAAAATACAAACTTGATCTGTGTTTTGTGGTAATATGCATTGTGTATAAGATTTATAACATTTGGTTGAGGCAAAATTAAGTTAGAGAATGGAAACGTAAAATTCAGCAATTTTTCCATTTGTAAAGGGCCATAACTCTAGAAAGGTAAAAGTGACGCCACCCAAATTCAAACTTGATCTGTGTTTTGTGGTAATAAGCATTGTGTATAAGTTTCATAACATTTGGTTGAGGCAAACTTAAGATAGAGAATAGAAACGAAAAACTCAGCTATTTTTCCATTTGTAAAGGGCCATAACTCTAGAACTGTAAAAGTGACACCACCAAAATTCAAACTTGATCTGTGTTTTGCGGTAATAAGCATTGTGTATAAGTTTCATAACATTTGGTTGAGGCAAACTTAAGATAGAGAATGGAAACGAAAAATTCAGCAATTTTTCCATTTGTAAAGGGGCATAACTCTTAAAAGAAGCTAGCTTTCAGCTGAGTATAGTAAAATGTATCTTCATTTAATTTTAGAATATTTTTCTTAATTCTCTCAAGCTTAAAGTTTTTAATGATAATTACCAAGTTTTTCCTGAACTGTAGCTAGTTCTTGTGATAATGATTCCTCTATATTATTTTTCTCCTGTTGTTCAGCATGTATTTGATCTTTCAGGAACATGATTTCACTTTTCAGTGTTTCCTCTGTGTGTTCCTTAGCAACCTTACTCTGAATTATCTCTTCACGATACTTTAATAATAATAACTGCATTTCCTATCAAAAGAAAGAACAATTATCAGAACAATATCAAATGTCTGCTTTAACTTTAAAAATACTGATACATTAATTTTAAACATACTAATTTTCAATGATTTAGTTTTAAAAAAAAGATGACTCTAATATGATGTCCTAGTTCAGTTGTAATAATTTCCATGATGAAATAATAAAATATATGATGTACCATGACCAAAAGAAAATATCACAATATTAATGTGCTTAAAAACCCATATCTTGATCAATTGCTCTTTGAGATGCCACATCTTTCTTACTTAGAATGTAATAGTAAATATATTTTGCAAGGTTTTATAAATACATTGTGCATTGTGAAATGAGCGAGTTTTGAATTGAGGGATGGATTGTGAAAGACTGATACCAATTTAAGGCAGGAGCTGCAAAAATGGTTTGGTATATCTTTATTGTTATATACAATTTGATATCAATGATTCATGAACGATACAATAGTTGTACTGTAGATTTATTTATTTTCATAGATACCAATTTTCATGGATGGAGGAAAAATTGTATTTGCTTGTATATCGGATTTCGTAGATTTGCAAAAGTCTGCATACAACCCTATAGAAAATTTGAACTTTGTTGATCATTTAAATTTGTGGTCTTCCTGCCACATGTGGAGCAGGATCTGCTTACCCTTCCGGAGCACCTGAGATCACCCCAGTTTTTGGTGGGGTTCGTGATGCTCAGTCTTTAGTTTTCTATGTTGTGTTTTGTGTATTATTGTTTGTCTGTTTGTCGTTTTCTGTTTTAGCTATATCATTGTCAGTTTATTTTTGACTTATGAGTTGAATGTCCCTTTGGTATCTTTCGCCACTCTTTTACCGACGAAATCCATTAAAATTAGTATCATACGAATGAACATAAATCCACAGTAAATGAAAAAGACTTTTTTAATAAGATATGCTCAAAATTCTAGCATTACTTGATGAAATAAAAATGAATTATAAAAAAAATTATAGATAGATAAACTGATTTATTGAAAACTTTTTTAAAGGTCAATAGATATCTGTTTCTGTATTAAAACAGATTTTCAACTGTTCACCAACAGAAAAAGTTAAACAAAACATTTTCAGGGTGAATTAGCTAGAGGTTTAGTTTTCAAATATGATTTTGAAAAACTTCAGTTTGATAAAAAAAAAAATTTTTAATTGAAAATTAATAGAAAAACGAAAAGGCAGTTCTTCAAGGGTATACGTAGGAGCTAATATAAGGGAAGCCAAGGCATTTATTTTTTTATATAATCTTTCAAATGCAATTTTAAGGCTCAATACTTACTTTACTTTTCTGTAAAAATAATAATGACCTAAGCATACAAACAAGAATTAAGAACTTAGAAATTATCTGTAAAAAATAACTTTAAATATTGAAAAAGATATTTTTCATAGAAATTTTAGCACAGTGCCTTTCTCTTTACCTTTAAGATACCTCCTGTATTTTATTGTTGCATTTGTCCCATTTCTTGTGCTAAACATTTTTTCGCATAAGACCTACCATTGTGAAATGCCAGAAGAATAAAACTGCTGCATTTTCAAATCACAGAATTTTTTCACTCCTATTTGGGTGCAATTGTACATAAGACTTAAGCTAGAAATTAAGATCTAATTTACTGCTAGATCAATGGTATCTACTGCATGATCCTTATCAGTAGTTCTCTTTTTTTCAAATATCATGTTTACCTTTCTCAATGATTTATGAGGTTAAAATAATATTTTCATATCTTAACGATCACTAAAAATATTTAACATAACTGCATATACAATGTATTAAATAAAAAAACTTTATCAAAATTAGATGTGTTTGGCAACATGTCCTCAATTGATAGCCGATTTCAAGGGCTGTAACTCAATAAAAAGTAGATCATGATCTTGATCTCTAACTCGCCATTATATGATAAAAATTCTACTCAATGATAAAAAAAAAAATGGGGGCTATTGTTAGAATCAGAATAACAAAGGAATGATACTTTATAGTGACCACTGAGTGCCTAGGCATAATTGAAGAAAAAAAACATCTACATTATGACTTTTTTTTTAAAAAGGCCATAGTAAAGATGCCACTACAAAATGAATCTATTCAGTAAAAAATGCATTAAATCCAATGGTTTTAGGATGTAAAGGTACAATATACAGATAAGTTACCATTGTAAACAGGTTAACCCAATCTATACAGTAAGTAAAATATACCTCTATATTATTAGGTAAGTTAATATCCTCATTCTGAAGTTGCTGTGCATATTTTGAATGTTTCCCTATTAATGTATCATTTTCTTTCTGTAACCTGGTCAACTGAAAACAAATGTATAACACATCATTAGCAACATGAGGGATTAAAAATGAAACAATGGTTTTCTAACGAAAACCTTTGGCAATTTAGAGCTCAATCAATTTTACAGACACTTGTCTGTTGCTGTAGATTGAAAGTTTACCTCTAAATATGCATACTCTTTTAATTTTTGTGTTCTTGTTTTGCCCTCTTACTGACTATACCTTACATTAACTTTCCTTCAAATTTGATCTACATTTTTTCAGTCCAATGTATTCTAATCTTAAAGTCATATCTGTCTATAGGACAACATGTCCCACTCACACTATCACATTTCAATTTCATTGAACCCAAAAGTCTTGGTCAGAACCCGAATTAAACATATAATAGTAAATAGTATTAATATTTCTTATCTATGACCAAAATAGGCTTTTAAAACTATTCACACATGACATATAACCTTTATTATTTTGTGAAAAAACCCAGAAATGCTTATATTTATAATAGATCCTCAAGTTTCTATAAGTAAAAAAAAATGCAAAATCTATGTAAACACATCTTCTGCTTTTAAACAAGATTAGAATAATTCAGACTGATCTCACATTTCCCTCACTTTGAATAGACCTTTTCATGATAAATAGCATACACAGTGCTCTATGATGGGAGTAAATTGGTCAACTTTCCACGAAAACTTTTGTGTAAAATATTTTTACATTTTGATAGAAAAATTAATCACTTTTCACACGTTTCATACAACATACAATACTGGAAATTACTTTGGCTTTTTGTGTTGATGGATTGCTTTTACTCATATCTGCATATTATCTTGCATCTTCGCTAGCCAAGGATTACAAATAAAGGCAACAGTAGTATACCGCTGTTCGAAATTCATAAATCGATTGAGAAAAAAACAAATCCGGGTTACAAACTAAAACTGAGGGAAACACATCAAATATAAGAGGAGAACTACGACACAACAGAAACACAACATTAAAATGTAACACACACAGAAACGAACTATAATATAACAATAGCCATTCCCCTCCTCTACACCCTTGGCAGATTAAGCCAACATTTGTGATTTCAATGCTGCGTCATCTATCAGTAGACAAAAGTCACACCAATTTTGACTAAACCAGTTTTGACCAATGGCAGCACTTGAAATCTTTTCTGTGTAGAGGTTTTAAAATGTTTCTGTTGAGTGTTTACAAATTCATGAAGCACGAACGAAAAATATGCGTTGACATTCTAACATTTGCACGAGAAACATACCCAGGAACTTCAATTAGTTGATTAAGAATTTTGAAATTGTCACTTGATATAGTCTTATGTTTTTTTCGGTAAAGAAACGGTGCACAATCTGCTCGTGGCAATTGTTTATTTACATTTGATACATTTACACGTGTTTATCTTGAAGGCGCTTTTTTATTGGATGCAACAAGTTACATCCGCGACCAATGGAAATCATTACCAAGTGGATCTGAAATTCTATCTTAATCCGCCAGGAGAGGAGGGGACTGGATCATAATCCGTGGCTAGCGAAGATGATTATCTTGAAACATCATGAAAAGAATTATAGTTGTTTAATCATGTTAATGGATGTTTTCAATTATAATCAAAATAACTTACCTCATTTTGAACTTCTTCTCTTGACCCTGTCAATACTTGCTGGAAAAATTTAGAATAAAATACAAATTAATTTTAGATTAAATAGTAGTCCTCAAATGCAGCCTCTGCTACTCATTGTAAGCATCTTTTTAAATTTGTTTAACACATGTTTTGTATTCATTGTTTAATGGTATTATGTGTTACTTGTTTTTAAATGTTGACAAAATAATTGATGTCTAAAAACACTATGACCACAGACTGAATCTTAATGTTGACAACACCCTTGGAATCTAGGATCACTTACACCACTTCACAACTAAAGAAACAAACAATAAATTGGCAAGGGGAGCTAAAAATGCCCTTTTTATTATACCCTACATTGGATGCAATTTTGATGATTTCTTTCATTTCTTTATGCTGATTGTGAACAAAAACACATGCATCAAATTTTTATTTCAAGTGTTATATCTGAAATCCCTTTACAAATATTTCTGAAAATCCTTTCAATGGAGTTGTACTTAAACCTACCAGCTGATCTCTAAGATCTACTTGTGACTGTGTAAACTGCTGTTTCATTTCTTCTATATACTTTTCACAATCTTGCAATTTGTTTAAAAGACTGGACACCTGATAATAAACAAAATAGTATAGAATATTTTTAAAGTTATTCATTGATTATAGCTAACATTAACAATTAATAAACACATTGAATTAAGGTCATTAAATCATGTTTTTGGCCAAACATTTTTACTTTTACTGATCATAATGTTCAGAACTTATAATTAATTTAATGTTTGCAAGCTCTGGACAAAATGACCACAAGAGTTCGCTAGAGAGCTGATGCCTCCCAAAAAGACATCAACTAACAGAGAAAGAGGCAGACTGTGTGTATGATACTTTTAAAGCAAGTTTGAAAGATATGTTCATCCTTCCCCTTTCTCCTTTAGTGCATATCTATTTACATATAAAACTTGGGTATAAGAAAATGAAATTAGCTTTTATCAATTTCAGGCATAAAATGATAGTAAGACAAAAATAGCATGCAGAAACCAAATGTAAAATCACTGAATCAGTAAATGGAGTATTCAGATATTTACATTTTCATTATTGTGTTATAGTATATTTTACATTTTTATTTTTGGGAATTGTGATACTAAAACTTGGCTCTGATAATCAAAATGTCAAAAAGGTGGTTTCCACAAAATTTAATTATTTAGTGTCAAATAAATTTCATGGATATTCTACTGGAATACTGTAAATTCAGATATTATTGCGTGCATTTATTATTGCGATTTTTCCAGAATGGACAAAATTGCGAGTTTAATTATTACGATTACAAAAAAATCTACATAAAGATCTATGTTTCAGTTATCAAAATGCGAGTTCTTATTATTGCGATACTCACCCAGTCGCATTATTCGCATTAATAAAAACCTCGCAATAATTTCTGAATTTACAGTATTAGGTAGCACAAATTATAAGGCTCAATTCACAAAAAACCCTATGCAATTTTGCTTATTGTACACTTATAGTTCCTTATTATCCAAAATCATAAATTATATTGTTAAATAACAAATGTCAATAACAGCTATTAATTAAGAATGTTATATTAATTAACCTGTTCATCAGCCTCTGACACAGTCTTTTTCAGTGTGTCCTCTAGTTCTGTAATATATTTTTGTTGACTTTCAGTAGTATGTATCTCACTGTTTAGATTCCTTTCAAATGACTTGGCTCTGACTTGTTCTTTCTTCAGATCATCCTGAATGTTCTGTAACTGTGCTTCATAGTTATTACACATATCACAAGGTTTACCTAACTTGTCTCGCGATTCCTTTAACTGAAAAATATTAAATATATACAGTAGTGTCCAGTAATTCTGCCCGTCCGGTAAACCGCCCACTCCCATTTCTTCAGTAATTGTCACTTCCATGATTATTTCGTCTGCTATTTTATTCATGGGAACTGTACTTATCATCACTGCATGTCAAATTTTAAAGAAAAATTCTTTATTACGAAAATATCTAGTGATTTATATAATACAGTTCCTAAAGCTAACAATAATCATATTATTACTAACAAAACTCATTTCTGACTTGAAAATTTTTTTGGGATTATCTGGAATCTCTTTATAAGTGGTCTATTAATAAATAGATCACCTTTTCCTTTCATAAATTTGTGATAAACTGGCCCTCCATACATATTTACTGCACGTGGGCAGATTTACCGGACAAACACATTTCCGGTAAAAACACGGATGACCCACTTGTTTTATTTATTTTAAAATTTATTTCAGATATTTTTTGGGAAATGAGATAAACTACTCAAAGTTGATTTGTTAGTGAAATGATTAATAATAAATTTGATACAATTTGTATATGATTAAGCAGAAATACATACGACCAAAGCCTTATGTGGGCAGATTTACCGGACTGCATCGTACTGTAATAACACTAACTTTTGTGGGGGTTAACATTTTAATGTTTTGTCTGTAAATTTGAGAATTTTCGTGGTTTCCAGTATGTGAAGGTAATATTCTTTTTAGGTAAATATTCAAGAAAAAAACAAAATTTTAACCCAGATGAAAATTTCTTCTTTTACATTATGTGTTCTTAGTTTCCCTGTTTAGTATAATTTCAAACATAGATATCTCATGTTTTTTTTTAACTATTTACAGGGATCCAGCCATAGCTTTTCTACAATGAATAAAAGAACAGAGTTCCAATGTCTCCAGCATTGCACATATTTTATCTATGAAATGGACACATGAGAGCACTAATGATGCAATTTTCCATATAATTAATGTTTCCAAGGGGCATAACTCTTTTAATTGGCACGGATTTTAGAACTCGTCCAAGACATTGCTGATATAAACCTTTGATATAAAGTTCCATAAAAATCTGGCAACAATTGTACACATGAGAGCGCTAACATAGCAATTTTCAATATAATTAATATTTCCAAGGGCATAACTCTTTTAAATATAATTAATCCGCACTGATTTATGAACTCGTTAAAGACATTGCTGATATAAACCTATGATATTAATTTCATAAAATTCTGGCAAGAATTGTACACATGAGAGGGCAAACGATGCAATTTTCAAAATAATTAATGTTTCCAAGGGGCATAACTCTTTTAAAAATAATTTATCAGCACTGATTTTTCAGTCATTCAAGACATTGTTAATTTAAACCTATGATATAAGTTTCATAAAAATCTGGCAAGAATTGTACATGTGAGTGCTCTAACAAGACCAGACGCCAAGTATTTCTATGTCCCCGTAACGCATTGCGCGGTGGACAACTAGCAGATACTTGTGGCATTATGTAAGCACTTGTTTCAGTGACAGATCTGCAGAAATCATCATATACTTTGAATCTGTTTTCCTTTTATAAACATGTCTTTTAGTTTTTTACGTCAGTGGATTGCTGTTTCATTGATGTATACCCCACATTTCTTTCTATTCATATATACATCAGTTTCATTAACCATTTTAACTGCACCAGTCCAGTGAAGAATCTACTGCAAATAACTATAAAACAGCTGGTCAGACAGAGGTAAATCAGTGACCCTGCTCTAAAAACAGATTCATTATTAACTGTTTACATCCTACATTTTTGTGAATATACATGTACTACTACATAAAATATTAAAATGGCTTAATGTAAGAAAACAACAATCAATCAATCAGAAAGTTTAGTTAACAACATACTTCTTCCAATTCTAACTTAGAACATGTAGGGTAGTCAAGTAATCAAAAAATATTTTGTAGAAAAAGAGATGGAAGATATATACCAGACATACAATCAAAATTTATATATTGAAAAAAGAATTACAAAACCATGGCTAAAAAGGAAATGACCAAAAAGTAGTAGTGATCTCAGGTTCTATGGAAGGGTAAGCAGAGCCTGTTCCAAATATGGCATTTGTCATGTTTCTCATGGTCATAACAAATTCTGTGATAAGTTTTCTCACTCTTAAAGTGATAAGTTTCTTCACTACCAAATAGAAGATTTATGTATTTTACCGACCTGTTGTTGTAGAAGGTCCCATTCCTTTTGTCCTACCAATCTTTTACCATCCACTGAGATTCGGTCCACCTTAGATTTAGCTGATGCTATTAATGACTGTCGTAGTTGTAGTTCTGGTGTAGGATCTACCAAATATTAATTTTCATTTAATAATGAATGCCCATTGTGGTTAAAATGGTATAAAACGTTAAAGAGAAAACCACTTACATAGTCAAATGAATTATAACTTATGCCTGCTAATTTAGTGCTTTGATAAATTTTCTAATCCATATAATTCATGCTTTCCATCTAAGAACAGACAGTGAATAATTTTATTATTTATCATGTTTATGCAATGCTAAATTTTGAAATAATGAAGAATTAATGTATGTACTGTAAATTCAGAAATTATTGCGAGGTTTAAATTAATGGGAATAATGCAACTACTTGAGTATCGCAATAGTAAGAACTCACATTCGGATATCAAATACATATATCTGTATGTAGCTTTTCCTAAAATAGCAATAATTAAACTCGCATTTTTGTTAATTCTTCAAAAATTGCAATAATAAATGCATGCAAAAATTTCTGAATTTACGGTATATATATTTGTTTTGTGTGTGTATGAACAACATTGTCTATAGATTTGCAACATTTCACCATGTGTACTATATATATCTGTCTGGTGGATGAAACCTAGAGTCACATCATAAATTTTGAACTATCTGAAAATAATCCCCAATCTCTCTCCTGCATACTCACAGGCTCAACATATGTTGTTTAGGAAAATCACAAACCCTATGAAAATAACTATAACTCTTCTATGTAACTGCAGATATCGCATACATATCTGGCAGATATAGAACTAACTATGGTAAAGGAGTAAACAAAAACTTTGTCAACGAAACAATTAGTTCCCGTTATTTACAGAAATGAGAGGAGTGAGTCTCTAACACTTATATTTGTAGAAAAGCTATAAAAGAGGGACGAAAGATACCAGAGGGACAGTCAAACTCATAGATCGAAAACAAACTGACAACGCCATGGCCAAAAATAAAAAGACAAACAGACAAATAATAGTACAGATGACACAACATAGAAAACTAAAGACTAAGCAACACTAACACCACCAAAAACTGGGGGTGATCTCAGGTGCTCCGGAAGGGTAAGCAGATCCTGCTCCACATGTGGCACCCATCGTGTTGCTTATTTTATTACAAATCCGGTAAATAGTCTAATTCGGTAAGTCACATTCGTGAAAAGGGAAGGGTATTGTAGTTACGACATAAGGAACATATCCGATATCATCTGTAAGTGACTTATGAATATAAACAATGATAAATGTCAATAACTTAGACCACTCATTGAATGGAACTTTTGTATTCTTCTACAGCATCATACTCTGACCATCTGAGAGCCATTATTTGTATTCTGTTTTTTTTAAACTATGTTACAGAATTTGACCATTTTTACAAAACAAAACCATAAATTACTTTTACCTGTTAGAGCCTTTGTTTGTGCCTGTGATAAGTATGGTAAATTAAGAACTTTTTCTGGACTTATTTGCACACGTAATCCATCTAGTTCCTCATTTGAATCTAAAACACGACTGTCTAAAAATGAATCTCCTTCTGGTAAATCTGAAACATCTAATACTGATTTTTCATCATCCGTCTCATTGTTTAAGTCTGTAGAATTATTGGGAGAATTGGCACGTATTGAGTCTTTTTGAGATTGCTGTTTTAACTTTTCTTGCATTTTGGCATCTGCATTTTTGAATTTCTGGGAAAAAAAATTAGAACAACTATAGAACATGTAAAAAGAGAAAAATTTCAAGCAAGCATTTAAGATTTTATTTTATTGGGGTGTAAAAGCGTTGGCCAAAACACGTTTTGGATATAGCTTACAATCAATGCTTTTACAGCCCTATTAAATTATAAAATGAAGCATTCAATTATTATAATTACATGTTTATGCTACAACCATGCAATTAAGTGTTATATCAAGCTTTTCGTTTGATTTCTATGCATTGCTTTAACATTGTCACAGAAAGCATGTGCGGTCATACTGTTGTATTTTATACGGACATAGAATATCATCATATTGGAGTGCCTCCAGATTGTTTTCAGCCAATCAAATTACAGACTCTAATGAAAAATACATGTAATGTAATTATTAAAGTTTAAAGATAGGCAAATTCATGAAAATAATTGACTGTACATAATATAATGAGCTCCACAAAGCAGTCAATTAGACTGATTGTTTTGTTGGTGTTTAATGCCAGTCAGCACTCTTGGTTGTATCATGACGGCCAGTTTTTATTAGTGGAGGAAACTTGAGTTCCTGGAGAGAACAACTGACTTTCAGCAGGAAAACTTGTTTTTGTAGTCAATTAAGATCAGGGTGGACCACACTTTGCTGAAAGCAGTGTTCAGACTCACAACCTCATAGCTGACAGGCTATTGATCACTGTTGATGAACTACTTAGACCAGACTTTTTTTGTTAACCAAATAAAAAATGTTTATGCACTTATAAAAGCCGATATAACATAATTTTTTTTTAGATTGTAAAACTGTGTATTGGCTAGTTTTACTCTTTTAACTAGTAGTCAATATCAAAATAAATTTAAACCAAAACCATTCTTACCTCTGAGGCTTCCTCTGCCTTTTTCAATGCCTCTGTAAAAAAAAAATCAGAACACATTACAATCAAAGAAAAGCATTTCCATTATTTTCTGTCTCATTGTTGCTATATATTGTAGAAGTTCAAAAAGACTGGTATTGACATAGTGCAAAAAAATTTTTGTGAAAAAAATCCATAACGTTGCTTATCCTGCACGTAAATAAGATGTGGTTTAATTGCAAATGGGCCAACTATCCATCAGAGACAAAAGGACAACGATTTCAACAACTACAAGCTACTGTATTACTTTCAAAAATGATCGAACCCATACTATAAGGTAATAAAACTAAAAAAGGCCCTGACATGACAAAATGTAAAATGGTTCAAAGGAGAAAACTAATGGCATGATTTTTGTTACTTTTTTATAAATTCTAAGAAAAATAAATAAATTTGAAGTCATCTAATGCAGTCATAAGATCTCTGAAAGTTTTTTTCATCAAAATTTCTGTAATGAAAACAAACAGGAACAAAATAATTGTACTTTACCTTTAATGTTTGCTATGTCATACTTGCCCACCTTTCAATAGCATAAATTGTCTACAATAATTTCAATCACAATTTTTCCATATCAACTTGTTTTAAAAATTTGTATTTAAGTAGCAACAAGTAATGTCAGTACAAAAGTAGATCACAAAACCACACAAGTAGATTGATTGATTTTTAGTGTTTAACACCACTTTGAGCCCTATTTGCTATTTAATGGCAGTCAGTTTTTCTTGGTGGAGGAAGTCAGAATGCCCATAGAAAATCACTGACCTTCAATAGGAAATCTGGCAATCCTAGTCAATTAAGATTGGATTCAAAAGCACCTGCCATGTGCAGGACTGGAACTCACAACCTCAGTGTTGACAGGCTAGTGATACAGTAAATGAACTACTTAGGCCACTTGGCCACTGAGACCCCTCACAAGTAAAAGCTGCTGTTCTAAAATTTTGATCATTTGCATGTCACTTTGTATAAGTGTTGCTGCACAATGTTTTTAATTTACATGCAAACCATGCTACAATTTTTGTCAAAACAGCAGATAAGCCATATGTTGAACATGTAAATTTTAAAAGTATTTAACAGTCATGCAAGTAATCAGTCTTTTCATGCAATCCGTGCAACAATGCAAAAAAAAACTAATTAAATTGACTATTTTTACAAGTCATTTTTGGGCTTGATGACCAAAACCTTCATTTTTCATTTTATTAAGCTTTAACGAATGTTTGTACTGTCCATGTCTAGGTATAAATCTCATCGATATAATTATCTCTGAAATGATTACAGTAGTACCTATCAAACGTCCTTCTTCTTGTTGCTTCTTTGCTTCTTCCAGATCCTTTACTTTCTTCTCTTGGGCCATTCTTTCTTCATCTTTTTTCTGCATTTCTATTTGCCATTTAAAATCATCAATAAATATTCTACAGTTTTAGAATTTGGATTTTTTTTCTGTATTTATAATTTTACTAATCTAGTATAAATGTGATTGGTGTTAAAGGTACGTTTTCTTTTTCTATGAGCTACAGCACATGTATACTTGCAGGCCTCGACAATAACGCTTGTCCGATTGTCCGGTACCAGAGGAAAAAAAGGTCGGACAAGTAAAAGCTATATCAAGCTTGTCCGACGGGACAAGTAAAATTATTCTGCAGAAAATAACTTTAATCCAACTTTGATGAACAAAGTAATTATAAACAAAAAACAAGAAAAGAAGATAAAAATAAGTATTAATTTGAAATGTTTACTTGCAAACCGATAATTTTAAACTGGTTTTTTGTCAGGTACTTTTTGATAGGTAAAAGGCATACTATTCTCGGAAACCAGTTTTACTGATCCGAATCAGCGATGCGCTTTGTAGAAAAGGTAACTTTACAAGACAGTTCTTCACCAGCTTGGAAACGATTCGGCTCCTAAGTTTAATCAGAGACATATAATAATAATAATATAATAATGTATTATATGTCTCTGGTTTAATAGACAGTTTGGCACCGTAGTAGACATATTTAATAGATATGATTAATAGACAGTTTGGCAACGCAGGAGACAATTCGGGTCCAAGACAAATCAGTACCTGGTTTCCCACCTTATTCTGTTGCTTTATAATAAATACCATACCGGTAATTTTTTTAACAAAAATATTTTTTAAATAAAAATGAAGAAATTATTTACCATAAAATTCACAAAATCATATTTGATCATATGTAGAAAGAAACAATACTTGCAATACGGTGACCTATAGTTGTTAATTTCTGTGTCATTTGGTCTCTTGCAGAGAGTTGTCTCATTGGCAATCATACATCATCTTCTTTTTTTTATTGATTGCATTTGAATAATCTTTTTTCAACTTAAACAACCAGGATACAAATCCAATGAGTGTACATTGACAGGCCTATCAGACGGTGCCTCATGTGCAGAGTCTGATGAGACTTTGGCATTGATGAAAACTAGAACCTAAGCCCTGTGACATGACTAGATTCAGTTGTTCTCGACTCATATTTTTGAAAAGTATTTCAAAAGATATAAATCAAATTCTGTTCTATTGTTTTAATTCATTTTGTTCCTTGAATCAACTTATAAGGCAAAAAAGGTTATTATTAAGATTTGTTTTGGACAAGTTACAATTTCATTCGGACAAGTAAGTTTTGGGTTGTACTTGTCCTACTGGACAAGTTGAAAAAAAAGTTATTGTAGAGGCCTGACTTGTCCCAAGTCAGGAGCCTCTGGCCTTTGTTAGTCTTGTATGTTTTTAAATTTTAGTTCATTTATATGTTTGGGAGTTTAGGGTGACGTCTATTTTCACTGAACTAGTACACAATTTTATTTAGGGGCCAGCTGAGGACAACCTCCGGGTGCGGAATTTTCTCGCTGCATTGAAGACCAATTGGTGGCCTTCCGCTGTTGTGTGCTCTTTGGTCGGGTTGTTGTCTCTTTGACATATTCCCCATTTCCATTCTCAATTTTATTGTAAAAAGATTATTTAAGGTGTAATGTTCATATTTATAGAAGAATTGCTAGAGAAAGGATCTATACAAAAAAAAGCAATGAAGGATTAAAAAAGTGAAAAAAAATTATATTCGTAGAACTCAAGTTTTATGGAAAGACATCAAATTATTGATTCATTTTTACATAGAAGATAGGGGCTATTCCATTAAAATGTATGTGGGAGGGTAGGAAGGCATTTCAAAATATCCCTAAAACCAAAAACCATTTTTTTGATAATTTTGCATAATGGTAATAGATGCATACTGAAAAAAGACCCATGACCCACATTCAATAACTAAACTTCCCTTCCTACCCTCCCACATACATTTTAATGGAATAGCCCTAAGGAAAAATACACACCCTTATTTAGCTAGAAATTTTCAAGATGTCTAATATATATTTACAAATTAATGTTGTTATAAAAAAATAAGTACAAGATTCATGGATTTACACATCTTATCAGTTAACAATAAATGTTTTTTGTAAATTTGACTCTATGGAAGAATGCTATTTAAAAATTCTAAAGAGAAAACTGTATTGGTTAAAATGTTGTTTGATGGCTTGTTGATATTTACAATATAACAAAAACTTATAAATGTGATGTAAATATAGAATTGTTTAATATAGTTCTGATTGTTTTCCAGGGTTAGCCAAATCACAAAACTTGTGCCAAAATTTTAATTTGACATATATTGTATTGCTGACCAAGGCAAATTTGTGTGAATCCATGTTGGCAAATTACTCATTTTGTGAAAAAATACCATGTATAAAATGTTACCCTTTTTTGAAAATTTGTTTTAAATTTAATAGAAGCGATCGCTGCATTATTGCCAAAGAAATGACAGAACAGCAAAAACAATGGAAAGAATTAACTTATTTTCTTACATCAACACTTGCTATGACAGATACATTAGCTAAACATGCAATAAATTTTGAAGACTTTCAAATGGGACCAGAAGAGGCTCTTATTATACTCAATTGTGTTTAAGATCTGACATCGTATACACCGATGTTAAGTTTTTCATTTCAATGGTTATCAAATTAAAAGGATTAAGCAAAGCAAGCTATAATTCATTAAAACTAATTACAATGTTATTTTAACACATAACTAATATGTTCTTCTTGTTTACATATCATATTCTGAAAATAACTAAAAAAAAAGTCAAATTCTCAAATATTTTTAACTAAAACCAACCATTTATTCACCAAAAACTGGTAACACAAAATGATTAACACATATATGTTTTGGTTGTAAAGTTGATATAGAGACAGAGATTATTACAAAACAAACACAAAATATAACAATTCATTCAGTTAGTTTTTAAAACAGGCTTGTTATAACAAAGCATGCTTTTTTTCACAAGTGTTTATTTTTTACAATTTAGTTGTCAGTAATAAGAAATTCCATTCCTAAAAAAATAATGTAAACTGTTTGTTTTTTTATTTTTATCTGTGTTTTTTGTCTCTCTGGAAATCATTTATTAACAATGTATGATAATAACAATTCCAAGTTCTAAAGTAAGTCATTACAACTAAGCTTTGGAAGTTTTTAGAAAAGACAAGTGTAATGTCTGAAAAAAAGGCTATATGTTTGCATATGAATAGACAAAATCATATAGTACTAAACATCTAAAAACTTTTAAAAACTTTGGTCTATTTGCTAAATGTTTTGATCATCGACTAACACTTGCTTAATTTTTCTGAATGTATAATTTGCAAAATATCCTTGACCTATAGATGACCTCTAACCTGCTATTTGTCTTTGTTGTTCTGCTGACAAAACACTTTCCATTCTCCGTAAATCCATCATCATTAATGTCTGGGATTCCAAAAACTGATCATTGGCCATCTGCCAAGTCTGTTGTAATTGTTCATGCTCTCGTTTCTCTTCATTTAAAATACGGCAAACTGAAATGTAATCAGACTTTGTTGCTATTTAACACCATGATCTAGTATTAAATGTTATAAAGTACATAAGCAACTGATTCAACCTAATTTGGCTCTTACAAATATGATCTTATAAAAAATTTGAATACTGTAAATTCAGAATTATTGCATGGTTTTTACCAATGTGAATAATACGACTAGGTGAGTCTAGCAATAATAAGTATCGCATTCTGAATTTGTGACATATACATATACAGATTTTCCTGAAATCGCAATAATTAATCTCATATATTTGTTCATTCATCAAAAATCACAAAAATAAATCTACGCAATAATTTCTGAATTTACAGTATCTCATATTTAATTGAATACGATAATATGTTAGCACATGCATAAGAATGGTATTTGTATACATTGGACATAAAAATAAGGTCTCATAAAAAAACAATTGTTTCTTTGATGCCTTTTAGGAAAAAATCTTCTGCCAGCTAGCCTGTATTTATAGAATAAGAGATTCGTGTTTGATTTTTTTCCATTATTTGGCAAAGTGAAAACTCAAAATAGCTTTATAATATACCAAATCCTAAGGAGTTCTAAATATAGTAACAGCATCTATCCACATGTCAATTTTTTCGGTTAAATTATCATCTTCTTAATCATGTTAATAGTTCTTGAATGTTTAATCATGTTTCACTAAGTGTATTGGAAAATTTGATTCTGAAAGAATAATTATCTGAATGTGTTTGATAAGGTGATCACATCCATAATTCCTTAGCTGACAATACAGTCCATTTTAATCTTGCCATAGGTGTGAGCTGTTTTGCTTATCACTAAAAATCTTTTGGCAAGTATTGAGATGAAGAAAGCCGTCAACACACTTGATATTTCCATTACTTTCTAGAAATTATAGGCTACATTTTTCACAACATCCCCCCCTCCCCCTATTTCTTTTTTTCCATTCTATATTACCTTCTTCCAAATCTTTCTTTGTCTTATCACATTCTTCTTCAAAGATGTTTTTCTGTGTTGTCAAAACAGCCACATACATTTCTAAATCTTTCCTTGAGGACTTTTCTATTCTTAGATAATGAAGAAGTTCTTGAATCTGTAATGGAAACATTTATTTAAATCATCAATATTGTTCTTCGATAAATCCTTTTTTGTGGTATATGCTTCCCGTTTCATTGCATATAACTTGCAAACAAAATCAAAATAACAACTTTGACAAATATAATTCACAAATGAACATGTCCTAAGTCAGGAATCTGATTTTCATTAGTTGTCGTTTGTTGATGTGGTTCATAAATGTTTCTCGTTTCTCGTTTTTTATATAGATTTGACTGTTGGTTTTCCAGTTTGAATGGTTATACACTAGTAATTTTTGGGGCCCTTTTTAGCTTGCTGTGCGGTGTGAGCCAAGGCTCCGTGTTGAAGACCGTACTTTGACCTATAATGGTTTACTTTTATAAATTGTGACTTGGATGGAGAGTTTGTCTCATTGGCACTCATACCACATCTTCTTATATCTATGATGAATGCAGGAATTCCCTAAGGTTTAACTCTAAAAACATGTATAAAGAGAATAGAGAATGTAATTGTTCTTGTTAAATCCTACATTTTTTTCCATCAGTTTTAGAGGGGACATATTACCCTAACGTTCTTTTAAGTAATACAGATAATATACAGAACAAAGTGGTTTTGACCACTTAAACCCCACAATAAGAAAATAAAAGACAAACCCTGAAAGTTACAATTCATCATGAGACGTTATTTTATAAATCATTTATGAATATTTCAAATTTGTGTGGATATGGTGTACAGATAACTGGATCATTCTACGTAATGTTTAAGATTTCTTTTTTCTCTCATCTATTGTAGGTTCCCTGTCTGCTAGGACATACTTCTTACCCTATCTTCTGGATCTTTAGCATCAAGATCTGACAGAGACTGTGTTTCTGGAGTAGCATGTTTCATTGGAGGTGTACCTATGTCATCAGGATTCTTCTATGGAATATAAAATATTATGAATTTAGAATAAATGATAAAAAAAATCAGTGATTTTACGACATACACAGCAATTATTACATATTTGGAGATAAATTATTTGTAAATCTAAAATTTCAGCATCTGGACAATATTTTTATGAAAAAACTTGAAATATAGAATTTTTAGATCCGATGACTGTTTGAAGCTTTTAATCTTAGAGAAAGTTAATAAAGCAGAACTTGTCAAACTTATATGTTTCATTAAACATAATAATCTTAAAAAAACAATACTCTTCACAGAAGGATGAACTTGTTTCACACTTATTGCCAACTGGAACTTTGAACTTTGAAACAATCAAAATTCCTCCAAGTTAAAGACTGAGGTTAAATAACTTTATCATGTTTATCAGAGCAGTCCATTAATATTTTTGAGTGAGCATTGTTAATTATCGCAAAACTGACCATGGCAATCTAAATTCAAATTAACAGATTTTCTGCATATGATCATGATGATGCAAACTAAAAATACTTAGTCAAAAAAGGAGATTTTTCATTTAAAGTTTGTTTTAATAAATCTGATGCTAAAATGCTGTGTAAAAAGTAAAATAACAAAAATACAGAACTTCAAAGGAAATTCAAAATGGAAAGTCCTTTATAAAGTGGCAAAATAAAAAGCTTAAACGAATGGAAAACAACTGTCATATTCCTGACTTGGTACAGGCATTTACTAATGTAGAAAATGGTGGACTAAACCTGGTTTTATAGCTAGCTAAACCTGTTAGCCACTGATAAACTATTTTAAAGCACAAAATAATAAGACAATTTTTAAACATGTCTACTGATACAGATCAAATGTTGTCTTCAATTCTTTTGTTAATCTTTAATGTAGATGTCAGAAAGTAACCATCATTTAATTAAGTTCTGGTCATTTTAAATCCATTTCAGGTCAAACTTTCTGTGATATCAGCAAGCAGGTTGAATTTTAATGCCAAAGGAAAGCTCATTAGACACAAATATATTACATGTACCTCATATGTTGCAAGCCTTGATTTCAACCCTTTAATCTCTTCTTCTAAAGGTAAAACAACTGATTTCAGTATTTCTGCGTCAGCTTGAGCCTGAAAAAATCTCTATTACATGTACACATATTCAAATCAAGAAAAAAATACCAAGCCCTTGTTTTAATAGATATATTTAAGTTCATTACATGAAAATCGGCACAAAAAAGAAATTATAAGGTGTACATTGGTATTTTATGTTATCCAGAAGTTTTGTTGAAATCTATTTATCGTTTTATGAGGAGTTGCAGAAACAAACTGTAGTCTGGTGAATGGAGAGATGCACGAAAAATAAAGATAGCGTCACAATACAAAAGTGAGAGCTTGGGTATAAATATGTAAACACTGGTCAGTTATCCTAGTACATTTTAAACTTAAAAATAGCACAATGACCAACTGTTTCTTTTTAGTGAATACTATTATAATCATAAAAATAATTACAACTGTTTGTTTTTTGTCTTTGAGTTGCAGTCTTACAGTTTTCTACTCTGCATCTCATTTTATTCATAGCTGGTTTTTTAAAGCCTCATTTCTTGTTATATATCAGGTAACAAATTCTCCTTAATATAGTGGTGTTTGATTTGCTGTATTAAATTTACAGGGCAAATTTTTACATAATTCATATTTTTTATAAAGGATGCAGAACTCAGGTAAAACTTTTTGCTTAGTACTTTTTTGCAAACTTGACTATGATAGTGTTGATACATTTTTTCAAATATTTTTGTATAATTCCCATCAAGAATTGCACAGGTAAGAGGACATAGTTCCCATAAAAAAAAATTGATTGCAGCTGGGTTTTTTTTAAACTCAAACAAAATTTACTTGAAAAACTCCTTCCTATAAATTTTTAGTATCAAATTCCTTCAACAACTCAAAGGAAAAGGTTCTAACAAGGCTGAACGATGGAAATAAAGATGCCTTGACAAAGGACATAGATCAATAACTGCTAAGTAAGTCCAATAAAAGATTTACATAGCTGGACATTCTAGTTGAAAGATCTGTAACAGGAATTTTCTGATGTTTGTTTTACCTTTTTCATACTGGCCTCCAAATTCTCTTCCTCCATAGACAGATTAGATGACTGTTGTCCCAAAGAACCTGGTGCTATTTGTTTTAACTGCTTAGCAACTGACGTCAGAAACCCTTCCCTGAAAATGTACTTTCATAGATTCAATAACATATAGCACAATAATTAATTAATGTATAAATCAGGCCTTTAGTTTTCTCTTTTGCATGTTTTGAGTTTTTTCACATTTTGTCAAGCAGAGAAATTTTATAGCTGACTATATGGAATGGATTCTGCTCATCATTGAAGGCCGTACAGTGCAAAATAATTGTTTGCATCCTTGTCCTTTGGTCTCAGGTGGACAGTTTGGCAATCAAATCACCTCCTCATTTTTATATAGCAGGAGACACTTACAATATAGAGATACTGAGACTAGCTACACCACCAAAAAACCATACAATTCCCTTGATAAAGGTCTTCATTTGTATCATCAAGATAAATCTATGAGATTTGAACATTGGTAAATTACTATTGCCCCTATTACTATCATAAGAACAAATAATACTGTATATATTTATTATTGAGTGAAAATGATAGTAAATCCTTAAACATGTTAAAGAGTTTATTTTAAGGCTCCATTTAAAACTAGTACCTGCAAAACTTGAAAATAGTTATAATCTCAACCAAATACTGTGGCTGAATATGATGTTTTTGTTTGTCAATATATAATGAAATAATGGTGTATGTATAACATGAAGCCTGTTTCTTACATTTGTTTTGTTATAGTTTAAAAAGAAACTTCTTATCTATAACCAGCATATTGTCTTCATATGGATTGTATAGTTCAATAATGCCTCTCTATCCATAATTAATGCTAAAGTATAAAGCTTAACACATTGATACGTCTAGTCTGTTTAACCTTATCACAAACTAAATCAGTTATTGCTGCCACCAGAAAGAGCAAGCCTAGGTCTTGATTCTGTAGCTTTCACCACAGACAACAAAGTTACCTTTCTTGACTGAGTTTACTTCGTAGATCTCTTACTTCATCTTCATACTTCTCATTAAGTTCCTGTAGTTTTGTTCTTTCATTTTCATATTGTGCTGCAGTGGATGTTGATGCTTCTTCTGCTACTTCTATCAACATAGTGAAACATGTATTTATAGCAGAATCCACAAAAACATACATTGAGAGGCCGTACTTTGACCTATAATGGTTTACTTTTTACACATTGTGACTTGGATGGAGAGTTGTCTCATTGGCACTAATACCACATCTTCTTATTTATATTTGTATCATAATCTATAAAAGTATAAATCTGTAGCAAAATGCACACACCTGATAATATATCATTCACTAATAAGACAATTGAGATGATAACATAGGGGCAACCAAAAAATAAGTTGATTGACTGATTAATTGTTGGTGTTTAGCTCTACTCTAAAATGTTAAAGCACAATTGGCATTATCATTGTGGCCAGTTTTAATTGGTGGAGGAAGCTTGGAGTATTTGGGAGAGAACCACGGGCCTCATTGTAGGAAAACTGGCATTCCTAGTCCTTTAAGATCAGAGTCAAACATGTTTTACATAACTCACAACCGCAGATGACTGGCTTGTGATCAATTTAGATCCAGATTAACCCAGGCCCAAAAATAAGTAGAAGGACAGAAAACACAATGGTCAAGAGACAAACAACAGTTCACAGAAAATTACATATAATGATAAAGATTGAACTCAGGTGATTTGAAAGCATTGGTGGGTCCTGCTTGACTATGGCACACTTTGTGTTGCTTAAAACACGAGATAAACATTTGAAACTTCAACAGTTAAAAAGGGGGGATTACAACAAAGGAAACATATCTATGGTCAACTATGATACAGATATTATACTGTACAGGGTCAATTCTATTTTATAGATAGTAATCTTTTCAAACCAAATTACCTTCAGTGAATCAATACTACCTCTCATTTAACAGGGTCTGATGTGAAACAGTTTTGATTTGAATTTTATCTGTAAAAAGGCTCTTGGAATAATCTTAAAACGCAAGCGGCTTGCAGGCAAACTGAATACCAAATGCAATTTTACTACTTGGACATTTCATCTTTGAATTCTAGTGCAAAAAAATTTTTGCTTCAAGCTTTTCAGGAACGAACTTAAATTCTGTGTAATTATTATTTGTTTTGATTCAGATACATAAATAAACAGTCTCTGATACAATTATTTACCCTTAAGTAACCCCTGAAGTGTGTCTACTTCTTCACGACACTGTCTACGTATGTCCTCTATAGCGTCTTCTTTGTTTGATTCAGAGAATGAAACAGCTGCTTTAATATCCTCTAATTCTGTTCTCACATCATTCAGTTCTTTTGCTAGAGTGTCTGCTTTCTTCTGTGTCTCCAAATGGGCATCTTTTTCTGTCTTAAATTCCTCTGAAATTTACGAAATGAATTTTACATGTATATTTGTTTCATTCACACTAAAAAAAAACATCGAAAAATTATCATAATAAAAAGTATAATATAACGTGAGTACAATGAAAACTCAATAGTTTACTATTTAAGTTTCTATTTCTTTGAGTTTCACTCCATTATTGCTTTAATCTTAAGCTTCCACAATCTTTTAAATTCATCAAAAAAAAATTTGCTAGGAACTGCAATATTTACCCTAGATCATGTAGATATCTTAAAAACATTGCTAAGGTATTTTTCAAAATAACTTTTTACATAAAACAACTAAACAGTAAGAATAATTTATGTGTTTCATTAAAAATATTTTTTTAAATTTATGAATAATTCAGAAATTTCAAAATCAATAATTTTAAGGATTACCAGTTCACTATCTAAACACAAACACATGTCTGTATGTGAAACTTGTGAATTTCAAAATGATCATTTGTTACCAATAGAGAAAACCAGATTTCTTTGTGTATAACTGCCAACTTTTACTGACTTAAATATGTACCATATCAGTAGACAAAGAACAACTTGTCTTTTAGTAAATGATGCTTCTCAAACCATTATCATTATCATAAAAACACAAATGATGTGTACATCATGTAAGATAGGTGTTAAAAATCTGTTTCCAATTGCTCTGTGTTCTACCATAGGCATGTCAGCATCATCCTGATGCTATAGATTTCTGATATAAGACCATTTATTGATGATTTCCTCTGTTATGAAATTTCTGGGGTAGAATTAGACACATTCAAAGCAGTTTAGATTTCAGATAAGAAAAATAATCCATTAAAGTGGTAATTCTCTTGATATCTGTAGTTTTGATGGAGATATATACATGATATATGCAGATTAATATTGTTATTCAAATTTCAACATATTCTTACTAATTCTTAAAATAAATTCCAAAATTTGATTTTTGCTACAAGATTATACATTTATACATTTTATAGGATAGCATAATAGTGAAAAATGTTATCACGAAAAACAATGTTACATGTCTGTAAAACAGGTAAATATCAACAACTAATAAAAATTTGTAAGGGTTTCTGCTGAACCCTGTTTCTCGTCTCTGATTGCTGCTGTCAGTATTAAAGTATAATGTTGATTCAAAAAGTGAGTCCATTTATCAGCAAAATACAGAATTTAAAAAAAAAAATATCCTTTAGATGCTATTTCCTGGTCTTGAAGATTAGCTTCTGTCCAAGTTTCATAACAATCCATGGAGGTTTACAAATTTATCATGTCAAAAAAATTAAATCCCAGACTGTCTGTAAAAATTAACTGTAAACAAGAATGTGTCCATAGTACACAGATGCCCTACTCGCACTATCATTTTCTATGTTCAGTGGACCGGGAAATTGGGGTCAAAACTCTAATTTGGCATTAAAATTAGAAAGATCATATCATGGGGAACATGTGTACTAAGTTTCAAGTTGATTGGACTTCAACTTCATCAAAAACTACCTTGACCAAAAACTTTAACTTGAAGCGGGACAGACGGACAGACCAAAAAACATAATGCCCATCTTCTATCGTAGGTGGGGCATAAAAACTAAGTCCATTTATCAGTAATATATTTTCAAAAGTTTGCTTCAGACATTATCTCTTAATCATAAAAAAGCTTCTGGCAAAGTTTCATAAAATTCTATGAAGGTTTGATAAAGTAATTGATGGGTAACAAACTTTAACCCCAGACTGTATCTAGTTGTTAAATGTAAAAAAAAAAGCTATGTCCATATATCAGTGAAATACAGAAAAATGAAAATAAATATTTTCACAATTTTCAGGGCCTAATCTAGGATTTTGGAGAGGGAGAAGTGACTTCTCCTTCCATAAGAGAGAAGGGAGAAGTGATCAATTTCTTGGAGAAGTGAGATTCCATTACCGTTTCGGTTGCATAGTGTTCTCGTGCTTATCACTAAGAAAATTGTTTAATATGCAATAAAAAATATATTTGCAGTTTTTTCATGTTATTGTACAAAATGTATATATAGAAAGTTCTTAATAAAAAGGCTTAGACAATACTGTTGTTATTTATTCATTGATACCATTTGTACTGTCAACTTGAATTTAAGTTTAAATAAAATTTGTTGCTTGAATTGGGACATGAGGGAGTAGCCTAGTAATATTATGATGCATTAAATTCATGTGCAACTGCCTCAATTTATTTTTAATTGTCCAGGAAAATATGACTCCCAGTTTACCTGATGAATTTCACATGACTGGGAATTTAATTTATATCACCACTTGTCATTATTTTGTAAAACATTATTGAATGTCCATGACATCATGTTACATGTAGTTTTAAATTGAGATTCTCGTTAAAGATTGTAAGCCTATAAATGAAATTATCTGTCAATCACATATTAATTAAACGATACAGAGCTAATTTCTATCATTTTTAAAGATATCTTCCCTATCAACAAAATTGTCGTGAAAAAAAATCCACTGCTGATCACAGCTGGTCGAGTGTTGTACGTTTGCAATCACATTATCCATCAGCTGTCTTTCTACCTATTATATTTCAATTTTTATTCAATGAATATAATAAATCTACCGTTAATTCCCACCCTTAACCCACCGAATAGTACAATTTGATCGATCGTAATAAATAAAAATAAAACAAATCAGCTGAGTGATTACGCAACATACTCAGATAAAAATCATCGTAAAATGATAACTTTAACAGACGGTCAGTTTCCCGTTTGAATAGTTTTGAATGTTATATCCAAGGATGTTCAAAGTTGCTGTTGTATTTATTTAATTTGATCGTCGACAGTATTAGTCCTGTGTCGTTTCGAAAATCTCGATTTTCCTTGTCAGTCGCCATTTTTTTTTTACCTGGGAGACTTGTAATTCACAAGTTGTCTCCCTTTTACCGATTTTCATAGCGATTTGACTTTGCAATGAAGTCAGTCGGCTGGTGAGATTTAGCGATTTTCTAAATTCTTTGGCGACTTAAATCATCATTTCGCCGGCAAGATTATGGCCTGATTTTGCTCTGAATACTGTATTTTGGTCATAACTAAGCTTCTGTCCAAATTTCATAAAATTCCATAAACATGATAAAGGTTTGAAAAATTTATTGATGACTGAAAAACTTTAACCGCAGACTTAATCTGAATGTTTACTGTAAAAAAAAACAAATACGGAAAAACTAAAGTAAATATTTTTAAAATTTTGCTCTGGATACTGTATTTTGGTTATAAACAAGCTTCTGTTTAAATAGCATAAAATTCCATGAAGGTTTGACAAAGTTATTGATGTCTTAATTAACCACAGACTGAACCTAAATGTTGATGCAGATGCTCACAACATAATCTAGGATCGCTATATTTCCCTATTGCGACATAAATGTTGCAGGCTCAACAAAAAAGTAACACAAGTCTATGTATTATCGTATGTTAAAGATGCCTATAAAAAATGACAAATAATAATATAATATGATCTAAATAAAAGTGACTTTTAGTACCTTCTTTTTGTAAGAATATTTCTTTAAATTTGGCTCTTTTTGATCCAAACTCCTTTTCTTGAAGTTCTTTTTCTTCTTTATACTTTAGTTCCTTTTCTTCAAGCTCTTTAATTTTTTTTTTCAAATGTTCAACTTCATCTGAAATAAATAATAAGAATTAGTACTGATATTTATTATTCTAATGTCAGAAAAGTTATCAGTATCCTAAAGAAGGTATATGAAGTCATAGCTATCCATCTGCAGTCTTACTTTCAAAATATTTTCAGTTTTCTTGACTCCATTAAAATGTACCGATCAACTAAAAGATGCAATTAATTTTGTAAGTTCAAAAGGTGTTTGTTAATGAAATTTCACTTGATTTATGCCCTTGAAGCAAGAGTGATTTTCCTGGACAACTCAAGGGTATCCCCAATTTTTGGCCACAGTGGACAACAGTTCTGTACGGATACATTACAATGCAGTAAGTCATTATCTGGATTACAGGAACTCTTTTCAGGACTGTTTAGTCCCATACACAAACTCAAATATAGGATCCTATGACATCAATCGGCAAAATGCTCCCCATCTACAACCACCATAATGCAATTGGTTTTGGAGTGTATGTTGACAAGGAAGTTTATACTGACTGTACAGTATTGAATCAGTTTTTGACTTTATAAAGTAGCACGTCATTTATCCATACAATCAGCAGTTACTTGTCAATGCTTGTTGTAGTTTGCGGATAATCATGATAATGAGGAGCTGACCAAGCACGTTATTTCAGTTCTACTGACTAAGACGTGACTTTTTTTAATTGTACAAAGATAGGTAATAAGGTAAATAAGCAGACTGTGGTTCATAAGTGTTTCTCGTTTTTTACATAGATTAGAACGTTGGTTTTCCCGTTTGATGGTTTTACACTAGTAATCCTGTGTACCCTTGCCCTTGGTTTGACAGACATTTGAACTGATGACAGTGATGTATTGTTACTACATTGTACATGTACTAGAACATATAAATTCTATAATTGGCTGTTTATATATAAAACTGCTAGATATTAGTCAACAATCTTTCTTATGAGGGCACTGGATAGTTTCAAGTACTAATACCTGTACACAATAAATAAATTATACATGTATATACGCCTATAAAGTGTTAAAAACAACATGAATATTAAAAATAAGGAAAGATTAATTCCTCTTTTTTTAATATTGGTGTTGTTTTGTACACTTTTTAGGCGTAATATATATATACATATTTATCTAGTATTGGAAACATTCATTCGCAGGGTTCAATATCAAAAATATGGGTTCAATAAATTATGTAAACAATCTTCCAGAAAGACTTTGAACTGGGTCTTTAACTATACCATGTTTTTCACCCTCTGCTGCTTCAAATGCTCCGAAATCAGCTTCTTCTGTCATAATAAATATAGTTGGGCATAAATTATTTTCTAATGTTCCATCTTTGGTTGCTATTGATCGATTTTTCTAATAATTTTCTTCGCCACCTACTTCCGAGCTCTCCTCTTTGAAGAAAAATTTGCAACAAAATGTAAAAGTAAGTCAATGACGGCCATATTTCCGGTTTAAGTTGAAAATGTCATTTAGGCTAAGATTTATGTCCTTATTGGACCTTATACATTATAATATCTAATCTTCTTAGTAAATATTTTATCAGATTGAGCGAATACGTTATCTCCATTTAAAATGTTTTCCTTCAATTTTCATACTTTTTTTCTCGCAAAAGTATTATACAATGCATTTTTCTGTCAGTATCGGCCGGGAATATTATTGGTAACTTCCTATGATTGGCATGGTATACGGGGATGTGCCAAAAATAATGGGTCATAATTTTTCGAGATTTTATATTAAAATGACCCTCCTTTTTAATGACATCTTATATTAAAATGTATTTACGTTTGATAACTGTGTATTGATCTGGGTATATTCTACATATCATATATAAATATGCTATTGAGAATCTGACATTATTAATGGTCAATTATTGTATTAAATTAAATCAATTCATTTGAAAGTTATATAAGCATGGGTCATATTTTTAAGTATTGTATATATGTATAGGTCATTCTTTCTTAAATATTTATATAACTATAGGTACTGAATTTCAGTGAATTTTATATTAAAATGGGTACTTTTTTTTAGGTAAAAATGGCACACCCCTAGCATTTATACATATATTCAAGACGTTCTGTATTTAACAAACAATATATACATATATCTAAATTGGAATCTTTGTTATTTTGGATAAATGTAATATCTGCTTTAAAAAAAACGCCAGTAATTTCCAAAGTTTACTCATTTTCCACAAAATTACCTTTGTCTGGTATTCAGAAATTTGAATGAAAAAATGACAAAATCTTAATTACTATAATAACCATTGTTGATTCAAATATTCTTTTTTTTACAAAAGTACAATTTCAGAATTGTTGATTTTCAATTATGAATTGGCAACAGACACGAATAACGGCTACCCAGAAGAAAAGTACTAGTACAAATGTAATATTGCCAAAATAAAATCACAAACAGCAACACCTTTCACCGCTATTTAATAACAGCTTCAATCTGTTAAATATTTTCAAAATAATTTCTACGAGAACCTAGTTAAAAACCTTAAAGTGCACATGATAGTATTGTCATTAGTTGGGCTTTATTTTTTTTTTTGCATATATATATATATCTCACGTTACTTAAATATTTAAAATATAAAATTAATAAAATGAATTTCAGTTTGACAAGGTTACGCATATGTTTGTTTTAAAGAGATGGAAATCATAAAGAATTTGGGATGATTAATTTAAATTTTTCAACATGTCAAAACGATCAAATTAAAATGACTTCTGTTTTAAGCTCTTATTTTGAATAAGAAACTATGTCATTGTCCATCTGCCCATCAAACCCGTTTTTTTTTAAATTAATTACGCCTTCAAATTAAGATTGATTAACCTTCATACATTGTTGTTTTCTACAAAAGAAAACAGGTTACATTAACCTTTTTATGATTTATGAAAGGTGAAATATAAATTTGTCCGCTTGGCAAATATTCATAAATGTGTATTGTGACAAATACCATATATAAACTATTACATATATATTTATGTATGAGTTGTCAGATGATTAAGTAAATGTTTTCTACCGTAATGACGTATTCTCCGTATCTTCTTTCATAAAAAGTAATAATAACATTTCATCAAAAATAGCCTTGAAATCTGCTTTCAATTGATCTCCTTCCTTGAATTTTATACAATTTCCTCGATAGTTATGAATATTTCAATTTATCGTGTAAAGTATTTGTTAATATCGTCCGGTAAAAGTCAACACTTTTAACAAAAGACACCCTATTTACATTCAGACCATTAAGAAAACGTTAAAATTTCAATAACCATTTAATAAAGATTTACGTATGACTTACACTTTAAAAGCTGCCTTTTTATAAAAAAAAATCCGTTCATATATAAATGCAATATGATTGTTCTAGATAAAGTTTTAAATTTTGACAAACTTTTCGACCGAAACGATGCCCTTTAATGACTCACTTCTTTTATGTTCGGGCATTGCTAAAAGTCTTGATTTTTGCATTTAGTATAAAAATACCAATACCTGATACTAAACTTCTTTAGGTAAAAAGATAAAAAAAAACGCTACTTAATTGATCTCTTATGTATTTGAACTAAATGTACTTTCCCTGGAATGCGCATTCGTTTCTCTAGTATTTTGGCAATAGGATAAACATAAGACCAACATCAACCAGAGACCAAAATGATGTGAATGTAACCGAACCATGGTCTCTGTAAGCCTTCAAGCAACGGCGAAACCCATACCGTGTAGTAAGATTTAAAATGTCCTGACATAACAAAATGTTAAACATTTCAAACGAGAAAACCAACGGCCTGATTTAAACGCCACGAATACGACAGACAGCAACCAATGATAGCCACTGAATTACAGGCACCTGACGTGGGACTGGAACCGCTATACATATTAGCGCGCGCACAACCCTCCCCTAACAGTGATGTAACAACACAACATAATAACACACTTTAGAAATCAATGGGATATAGCTAGGGCTTTCAAGACTCATCATATCGATACGAAAAACAAAAGCAATACAACTATTAGCCGACTAAACAATGCTGTAATCAATTTTATAGTAAACAAAATAAGATGTGGGGCATATGTTAAGCAGACAGCAATTGTACAACATATACCAAAGTCAAAAGACATCGGATCAACATACATGTATTCAAATATACGGAATTGTCTAAGCCATATAAACCACCCCAGGAAACTTAACAGAGACTATGAAGGAACTGTGTCATTAATATTTATTAATCTTCTTGGTTGACAAAACCCCCGTATGTCGACATAGAAATAGGCCGTAAATTGATCATTTGTTGTTAATATCCTTGTCATATGGTTTTTGGTGGATAGTCGTCTCATTGGCAATCATATCACGTCTACTTTTTTCTATCAATCTAATTAAAATATAGAACTCGGATTTCGTTATACTACATGTAGTATAACGAAATCCGAGTTCTATATTTTGTAGTATAACGAAATCCGAGTTCTATATTTTAATTAGATTGTTTTTCTATGTATATATAATATAACTAAGAGTGCTGTTTTTAGTTTATTGTGTCGTTAAGTTGCTGTCTCATTGAATTTTACCCCAAATATCCTTTTAAACATCTTATAACTAAGATAAAAGCAACGACAAATTTTAGGGACTATAGTATATTGAATACCTTTGGCAAATTACAGTAAAGGTTTCAATTGTATGGCATTTCTGACTTCAAAAAAGACACAAGATTTTGTGTAAATGTTATTGTTGACAAACATATTGGAAATTTGAATGAATTGTTTGTAAAATATGACGAGAATAAACAGGAAAAAATAGCACGTGTTTATATACTTTTAACCTTGCAAATCAGTATAAGTAAGTATAGATTTTAAGAATATAAAGGAAACTGTCCTTTGGGGGTGGGGGTGGAGCTATTGTCATTTATTCAATGTTTGAATGTAAAATTTAACGTTTACATAAAAAAAGAGAGCTTGGAGCTAGCCTTGGTCTTATCACAATGTTAATATGTAGCCACTGTATGAACTTACCGTGTACATCAGTTATCCTTACAAATAGGCGTTCCTATCTATTGACATTGAGATAAACACATTATCAATGTATAATCTAATGCTTTTTATCACTTTACATACGATTAAATCATTTACTTATATATATAGGCCTACCCACGATTTACTTACAGGTGTACGTATATGTATATATATAAATCCGTTACAGCATGCAGATTCATTGGCGTAGCTTACGTTGAGGCAACCGAGTTGCCTCGGTAAAAAAAAAATCCTTTATAATCTTTTAAACGATTTCCATTGCAGCAGACTAGCTACTAAACACTAATATACCGACTTGTTTTGTCTTGTTGCCGCTATTGATTCATACCCTTTGCGAATTCCAGACTTATGGAAACATTTCCCTCCTCTACTTGGAAATCCCCTTTACGGTAGTTTTCTGTAATCTAAATTTGTCGGAGTAAAAAAAAATCGACAACAGATTTATTTAGATATAGGAAGATGTGGTATGAGTGCCAATGAGACAACTCTCCATCTAAGTTACAATTTATAAAAATAAACCATTATAGGTCAAGGTACGGCCTTCAACACGGAGCATTGGCTCACACCCAACAGCAAGCTATAAAGGGCCCCAAAAAATTACTAGTGTAAAACCATTCAAACGGAAAAACCAACGGTCTAATCTATATAAAAACGAGAAACGAGAAACACGTATGAACTACATAAACAGACAACAACTACTGTAATCAGATTCCTGACTTAGGACAGGTGCAAACATTTGCAGCGGGATTAAACGTTTTAATGGTACCAAACCTTCTCCCTTTTCTGAAACAATAGTATAACATCACAACATAGAAAAACACACTATAAAATATCAATTGGAAGGCTTAACTCAATCAAAAAACGTAAATAAACACACAATGAACGAATAAATTTGACCTGTGACACCTGAATGCAAATACACAGTTAATAAAAAATTACAAGGGATAAATAATTAAAGTCAAAAGTAAATAAACAGGTTTAAACAAAGTTAAAGTATGATATCACTGTGAAATGCAAATAATTTTTAGAAAATCTTCACTTTTGAAGAAACCTGCGTCATATTATACACAGGTAAATGAAAATAATTAATTTTGTTGTTAAGTATACTTCTTCTTCTGTGTGCATAAAATCTTCCGTTTAGGAATACCAAGAAATTTCTTTAATATCAATAAAACTAATCTAACACTTGGTACATATGGGGTGAATATCAACAATAAAACTATACAATTAGTGCTAGATAAAACTTCCTGTACAGGTCCAAGAACAGCATCTAAGGAAAAATGAAATAATTTTGATGTTCATAGTACGAAAAAGTGAAAATTTGTAGTGATACCAAATAATCAAAGCTGGTATATAAACAAGATCCATGTTAACATTAAATAACAAAAAAACATTTCAAATAGTATCAACAGGTCAAATTAAAAAGAAAGTACGATTTGAGAGTACTCGCAGGAACTGACAGCTAGTTAAAAGCCAAAACAATTAATAATAAAAAATCATGCATCAGAGACTAAAATCAATTAAAATACATCCCAGGGATTTAGTATTTTAACGTCATGAACAGTCAAAGAAGACATGACTTGTGCAATGCCAAAATAAATGTATCGACAGGTAGTAGGATAGTTAGGAGTGACTTCTTTATAGATCAAAACAAACGTGTGTGTGTCTCTATACATCCCGTTTGAAAAGAAAATACATTATTTAGTCCTACCCCATTGCAAGCAAAACAGTAGAATAGATGATGATCCAACTTAGTAATACGAGTCTTCCCCGATCGAATTACTTTACCATTGAATCGGGTAAATTATTTAATTTTGTGTGAGAATAATTTCTAGTATATGAGGGTCTGGATGAGGTTTATAGAAAAATGCCCTGAAATAAATTTAAACTTAAAAGAATAGAGATTTAAAATTGTGCTTAAATATAAAAGAAAAGAAAATCAAATTATGGGCGAAAATAATTAAAAATAAATATTTGAAAACCCCATTCTTAGACTTCAAACCCTCATTTATAACCGTGACGTCTAAAATTGAAACATCGTTGTGTGTTGACATTTTCCCCTACGTGTAGAACTTCAAATACACAGAGTTTCATTGACTTTGGTACCATTCAAAATAAAATATGCATCAATCAACATGCATAGAAAATAATTTATATGTTGCGGTTCTCAAGTTTTATTCTCGCTATTTTAAATTTATAGTTTTCACTAGCAGGGAATTTAAAATATTTAAAGGAGTCATTAATTCCAGAGAAATATTTATTATATGTCTGTTAGTTAATACATAATGTCAGTTTATATATAAAAAATTTTAACCAAATACTGTTTTCATTTATCATAAAGACTTCAGAATAACGTAAATGTAAGTACTTCGCCGGTTGTCATTTTCATCGTGAATGTAAAAAAGTTCAAAACCATTTAATAATTTGAAGACCTTCAAAGGAATACCAGGACGAAACACAACCAATACAAGTGCCGTGGTGCACTTTACATGTAGCATGTGTTTATCTCCTAGTTTATCAAGAAATTCTGCTGTTCAGTCCGTCCGTCGTTTTGGGATGATTATCTATAATTCGTTGATTCGTGACCCACGACCAAGCGAGTAAATGATCATCACAAAAATTATTTCAAATAAACCTTAATCGTTGCGTTTGTTTTTCTGTATTGAAAATTCTGTACAGGTTTCTTCTGTCCATCAAACAAGGTCATGATTTCTTTTGATATGACGTTAAATCATATGTCACAGTGAGATACAGCCACCTATATTAGAGTGTACGACGGCTTGGAAATATATTGAGAGATAAGGTTTTTGCGCTGGCTTTCAGTTACCGCTAGCAAGTCAGGAAACTGACTTGTCAGTGGTTGTCTTATGTGATATCTTCACGTGTTTTGTTGTTTTTATTACTTTGAGTTGACGTAGATTAGATAGTATCGGTTCAAATCGATCATACACAACTTTCTAGACTCAGGACAATTTTGAACTTGACAGATCAATCTCCTGTATCCGCAAAAAAATTTAAATCTGGGAAGTTCACTGAAAGGATTTGATTTGAAAAAGTGGTGAATGCTTTTGATTTATGTATTCATCTGAACATTGAAAATGGTGCAGGTACCAGAAATCAACTAATAAATCGGTAGTATAACTTAGTGTAAGGCATATTAACATTATTATGATGAAATAAAATTAAACAATAACTATTATTGTCCAAATGTAAAAACCTAGATAGCTTATGGGGGGGGGGCTGCGCCCCTAGACCCCCTGCCTCGGTAAAAACAGAAGGCGAGCTACGCCACTGAGACTAGTCACCAAACAAAGCTACTTTCTAGATCGATACAAAGAAAAACAAATTCATGAATTTAAATATTTATAAAATTTGGAATATCTCTTATTTAATTACAACAATGTATAATTACATGTATTTGTAGGTCTTTCTTCCTTTTCTGACGCTTATAAAAAGATATTTAAACAATCACTCTCTTCAACGTGCGGCCTTTTTCGAACTTTTAAATCATCAGGTAAGATCTAAAACTTATCGCCCTATAAACCAGTATGCTAGTATATGGTTTGCCATGAGAAAAAACAAACATTGAACATACAGATTAACATTGACATGTAATTGGCTACAGACAAACAAAAATCATATAAATGGTATATAAGATTAATAACTGACCTTCTTTTTTATATATCTAGGCATTGCAAAGCCATTGTTGTGCCCGGGAGGGGGCACTTGCTATGTAATGAGTGGTAGGGATGGTCCGCTGTAATTGGTTATTTTTTCAAGCTTCGTGAAATATGATAAGGTAGAGGAATTAAAATGAAATATATGACAAGGTTGCTGATTGAATCATAAGTATTTGAAAATAATCAGATGTCGATTTTTTTTCTCAGATGCGATAAAAACTATATTCGGAAATGCATCAGATATTTGTCAAATCTATTTATTACTCCATGAAATAGCGTGAGCAGTATTACTTTAGGTATATTATATATTATATATACTACAATAGTTTATAAGATTTGCAGTTCTAAACAAAGCGCTACAAAACGAACCAACATCCACATTAGTGCATGTCTAAAGGGGGAAATGAAACGAACATAAAGATCCCTATCAGCGTCGTTGATCTAGGTAGATGCTGCATATTGGTACTCAATAGTTCCTTTGTAATGTTTAAATAAAATGTTAGAATAGGATTTAAAACTATTAAAATTCTACATTTATTGTAATGTGTATGGTTGATACCACATGTTTCCGTTTTTTCGTCTTCTAAAGACGATTCACCACTCCCAAATCAAAACCATGACAAAGGGGATCACCTGATGATTTCAATGCATAAATCTTTATCAGCAGTTTGTAAAAACAAATGTGCCAAAAATACATATCAGATACATGCAAAGACTCCAAATACTGCTGATCTTTTATTCCTAATTTTAATAACAAATTAGGAAACATTTATCTTATCGCCATTATAAGTCTAAAAAAGACAACAAATTAAGACTACAAGACAAGTGCTAAACTTCAATAAAATTCAGGATATCACAAGTACCACCAAGGTAATCATTTATCGCAAACAAACAGATAAAATAGAAAAGGAACCATGCAACCTTAAATATTGCGTTACTACTACAATCGAAAAAAACATGGTAAGAATTTCTATATCTTTTTTTATTTCTAAAATTTGTTTTAATTTTATTCATACATCAATAAAAGATGTTGAACGTATGTCAATAAAACAGTATTCAATATAACGACACAAGTACAGGTCAACGTACGATATTTAACAATTATTTATACACACACGTGTCTTCTATTTTCCTAAGGGAACTTCAAGGGAGGGGTGGGGGTTATGATTTTTTCCTAAAAAAATATTCTGATCCCCAATTTGATGAAAAAAATATTGTTGTCAAGCAGACGACAAAAAAATATTCTGAATCAAGATTTTCCCCATACCTTATATTGTTAAATTTAGAAAAAAATAATTTGATTGATAGCGTCGAAAAAAATCTGACTCAGACAAAAAACCATAATCCCCTCCTTTGAAGTTAAATGGTTCCTTCCTAATGGTAGATTGTGTTTAGAAGAAATACTCTCAAAGAAACTATAAACCATTCAAATTCGTTTTTGCTCAAACAAAAGATATACAGGTATACATCTCCATCTCCTTGCATTTAAAATTGTACATTTCCTTCGTTTCAATTTTTGCTTATATTTTGATTTGATTAGCTATAGTGACTTTCTTTAACTTCCAATATAGATCAAGTGAGAAAAAACAGGTTCTTTATAAAACAGTTTTTAGTCCGGACGGTGACCTATAGTTGTTAATTTCTGTGTCATTTTGTCTCTTGTGTAGAGTTGTGTCATTAATTGGCAATCATACCACATCTTCTTTTTATATTTAGAGCTGAGGAATGGGGACTCTTAGTTATATTTACTTGTATATGTATATATATGTGTGTGTGTGTATTCAAATCAGTTTATTGTTTGTTGTTGTTATTATTTGTATTTGTCACAAGTATCATGTTTAACAAATTTTTTATGACAATACAGAATTATTATATAATATTTCATTGTCTCGTGTGCTTGATTTCTTCTACGTCTGGTATTATCTGTATGACAAATCAACTCTTAGATCTATTAGCTATTAAAAAGCTTAATGTCTAAAACAAATAATTTCATAAGAAAAAAATGTTTGTTCTTGTCTTTCTTGTTTGTACAATATTTATTATCATTTTTCGCGGAAAAAATATATTTACCAACACTCGAATACTCTACCCAGTTCCAGGGTCTATCAGTGTGTTCAGATATTTCAAACTAATTTCTTTCATCAATTTATCTGCCCATGAACAAATTTGGTTTAAATCAAAATATCATCGGAAGCTCTTGGGGAATTATTAACAAGATAAGTGACGACCTCACCGGTTACAGCACGAAAAACAACACGTAAACAGTTTACAGGTAAAATAAAGGTAAAATAATTAGTAACAACTTAACATGTAGATATTAATGTGTATTGTTATATTCACAAATCTAACAGCATAGTGTATGCAACATCTGTTAATGTTTATTGATTAAGACTTTTCTAGATTTGACGCTCGTACCTTCTACGAATTTTCATACATTAAATCTTTAATCAAATCGGATTTGTTCAATTTGTTGAAAGTTGAAACATTGCCTTTACGTGACACTCAATGGAAAAGTTTTGTGACGTTGCACTGAATTCATATTTTCTAACAGAGAGACTTTTAACGTGTAAAAGTGACTTATAATTAAGTGACAAAAAGACAGTTTATCCGTATAAACTGAAACTATCGAATTCATTAGTTTGTTTATGCTTACAGTAATATTACAAACAGTGCTGATATTTCAAGTGCATTGATTAAATAATTCGCTTGGACTGTTCGGAGTAACAAACGGAAAGCTGTATATTTTTTTTACTTATTCTTAAAGAAACATACTAAATGGAAATGTACTTTTATACTTTATTTTATATATTATTCACATATGTACGTTGTGAACTTTTTACATCGCTAGCTACTATGGAACATGGTTTGATGGCAGAACAAAATATGGCTGATAAAATCAGAGAATATATTTCCAAAGAAAAAGAAAGACTACATGCATTAGATAGGCAAGTATCCTGAAAAAAAAAATAGTAAAGAAAGAAAACATTATAAATTTCAAACAAAATATTTGTTAATTATGGAACATGTTAAATATTATTTTCGTTGCTTCCGTTCTTTGACTGATGAGGGTTTGGATTGGCCGGGGTTTATAGAATAGAGAATAATTGGCCATACTACAGAAAAATGGGACATAAAAGTAAAGAATAGAGAAAAAGAGGCAAAAGAAATAAACAAAAGAGAATAACAGTGTGCATAGGTATATAAAAAAAAAAGAGATACATGGGCAAATTAAAAAAGAGAAAAGTGGCCGGAAAAACACAACGATTACAGAGTAATAAAGAATCCCCATCCAGCACTCTTGAATAAATCAGATTAATTGAAATACTTTCTTTAATGTCACTTCGTGTAAATCAGTACGCTGATCTTTGTAAGCCGTAAGTTTCACTGTGCATCATCTCATTGCCAGTCAAATAACAACACATTTGCAATTGACGGACGAGTACATGCACTCGTGCATGTTGATTGATTGTGACGGATGTCCTTTCCATGCAGTTATATCAGCTCTTTAACTTTCGTATAAAAATAATGAGGTTCGATCTTTGAAAAGACATTGCTGGTCTAAATACAAATCTGGTATCGCAAAATTAGTATCTAATTCTATAAGTATAAACCAATATTCATGATCTGTTCATTTAGAATTCTTTTATTAAAATCACAACAGACGACCGAAACTTTTGTATTATGTCATATTAAATCTTAAAACATGTATGTATATATACTTTTGAGTGACTGTCTATAAAACATCTATACACAGAAAGAGTTAAAGTGGAAGTGACACAGAGAGAGAAATTCAAGACATACCAGCAATTGTTTTATAATTATCTCTAACAATGCTTGACGCATATTGTCATTATGACATACTATTCTTTCTTTATTATTATACAGAATTAATTAATAAATATAGTGGAACAAGAGGGTCAGGGTATAAGGGGTAATAAGACTTTTCGGCAATTTGTTTTTATTAATTGTATGAATATGCAAAATTAAAGAGGGGGGTGTATCCCGTAAAATTCACTAGCACGATTTACATGATGGTACCGCTGCAGCCAATCCACATCTCCTCGTGTAGACAATTGTAGTAATCTTAAGTCATTTTGATACAGAGTAATTTGTTGTTTCATTTTATTGTGTATTTTTGTTATTGCATTGTTATAGGTATTCAGTACTAATGTATTGTAATTCTAAACTAGATTACATTTATTTATTTATTTACTTTTTCATTTATATATTTATTATTTGGGAGACCTCAGTTGTATACTGTAACCTGAGTAAATATCGAATAGAGACTTTTTTCAACAGCCATTTTAACAAAGGCTAATCTAAGGCAGGAGCGGATCCAGCCATTTTGAAATTTTCCAACTCCCGGAACACCATGAAACGTTTACATAATAAAAAAAAAACAATCGAAAAAAAGGGGGGTTCCAACTCCCGGAACACCCCTCCTGGATCCGACAATACAAGGGATCTCATGGAAGATTCCTGCTGCATATGAGTAAAAACAAAAATTACACGAGGTGTGATCGACAGACGACTTTTTACTGAAAAGTTTACTACCGACGAAGAATATTTCCAATTTCCCCATACATTTCCATGTATTCTTTTTACATTGATATCTCTGTGTTGTGGTTAGTCTTTTCCTATTATATAAGTTAATTACAAGACTAGGAAATGGAGTTCATGTACATAAAAAAGTTTACATGTAGATCTAAATGTTAGTCTAAGTATGTATCAGTCAGACACACTTAACTTGTAATGGATGTACGAGCACATGCAGTTAGCAGTGCACTATTTTGATTGATGGTAGAAGATTTATAGGAAAATATGTACTTTTGAATACAGTATATCACTAACTTTTGTCCGTATAAGTCTATTATAACCAAGTGAGTAGATGATAGTTAAGCAATACTCGGGGGATAGTAGGAGGGGTATCTTTTTATTTTTGCATCCGCTTGATGGTGTTAATATTTGAGGGTTAAACTGTTTGGAAAGGTTAGTTTAGGAGTTTGTTTTTATTTGTTTGCATTATTATTCTTAGCTTGCTGTTAGGTTTTATACGCAGAACAAATATAAAAAAACAGATATAAACTTTTTGTGAACCACTACACTACACTACTACATCTTTCATTACGTACAATGTGTTTCACGTTTTTTCCCTTAACGTGAACTTGTCACAAAGTTTAATATATACCTATTTACCTGATATGATGATGTGTTGAGATGAAGTATGCTAGCTCCACAAAGTTTAATATATACCTATTTACCTCTGATGATGTGTTGAGATGAAGGATGCTTGCTCCACACAGTTTAATATATACCTATTTACATATGATGATGTGTTGATATGAAGGATGGTAGCTCTAGATAACTCAGTGTTTTAAAAAAAGTTTTTAAAAAGTTAACAACACATGACTATGCTGTTCATTTATTTTGGGAGGTGAGGGGGAAAACAATACTGAGATGATAAAGCAATTGTGGATTCAGGTGGGGGCGAATCCCCCCTTTCCCCCAATATTTTTTTTAAATGTAATTAAGGTAAACTTTTAGCTAATTTTACGTCAAAATAAGGTCCTCTAATTCCTAATTCTTAGGAGCGCTCCCCCTCCCTAACATCAAATCTGGATCAGCGCATGTGAAGACCTTGAAGACTTCATAATAATTAAAAAAAAAAAACTGTATTTTTGTCAATAATCACAAAATATCCTGATATATTACAGTGTATTTTAGTTTTGTTTGTGTTAGAAAAACTAAATGAAGCAATATAATATATTGCTTAGAACATGTAAAGTATTTTCTGGCGTAAGCGTATTAGCTTAGTGTAGTCAACTGGACATGAGGCTTAGCAAAACAAATTTTCACATGACACGATTTAAATGAAACAGTATTGACCAAACTCACGTTTAAGACTCAGTTGATAAAATATTAAAAAAACCTATAGATGCCGTGTTCCTTTAGGCAAAGTTGATATTAGACGGTTTTCGACTACTCTATGCGATACCTTTAATTGCATGTAGTTTAGTGCAATCTGTTCTATCACTTACTTATACTTTCTGATATAACGCTAAAACATTATGCAATTGATTTTAGATAGTAGATCAAACGTTTGGGACAAATTAAATATCCACGTGAACATATCATAATTAAAACGACCAGTAGCTAACATAAACGCACACAGCATACTTTTTATCATTGCTATTATCATGGCTATGTGGTTGGTAGTTACACTATGAAAGTATTGATATTATATTAAAAGTAAAATTATAGATCGAATTTATGATTAATAAGCTGCATCATCTGTCCACACGCAGACACGAGGTGGGATTGAGGTTAGATGAACATTGAAACTTTTGTTACAGTTTAAACTGTTGATACCCTGCACAACCTGCACATAACTATTTTCTTTCTACTTAGCTAGTGTTGTGATTACCTTATGAAGCGTGTTCACGTCGAGTGTAGGAAATCTTGGTTTCGATATCATTTGAGCAATCCAGTATAAATTTTCATTTTTTACCCCGATCCCTGCCAACATCCCCCCTCCCCTCCCCCCCAAAAAAACCCCCAAAAAAACCAACAACAACAATAAGCCGAACAAAAAATGGTACGTTATCTAATACTATTAGGTGTGTTTTTGTGGTAGGGTAGGTTAATGTCTCATTAACGTATACCACACAACTCCTTTGGCCCATTTTCGGTTATTATATTAAAAGTTTACGAATAAGTACCAATTTCTAGATAAAACAAATAAGATAATGAACAAAAAAAAACTTTTTATGTCAAGTGTTCATCAATAAAATAGCAAAACAACTATTAGCTGAAATATCCCGGAAGTCATTTACAAGTCCAGTTTATATAACAATATGGTTCAGGTTATTGAACAAACAACTGCTTGGATGAGGGAAACGATTACATTCAGTGCACACTAGTTGCAACAATTGCTCTTATCACGTGCACGATTACCTCAATATGGAAATTTTGATTGGGCAAAATCTTTTCAGTCGTCTGCCTCGCCTCTAAAAATTACTTACAACAGTCACCAGCTGTTTCATAATCCACTTATTATATTTCCATTTCGAAATAAAATCCAGTATTGCATGCTCAAGATGTTTGTAAGACTACATCAAACATTTCTTTTATTTTAACGATAAGTTATATTAATACATAGATTTCCCCCATATAATGTACATAACGTTTTCTTGAAGCAGGTTTTGTACTGCATATTTTCAATTCAAAAATATCGGAGGGTGTGGATGGGGGTCACAGAATAGAGAATAATGGGCAGAAAATATAAATAATAGAGATAAATTGGACCAAAAAAATTAATATCACATCCAGTAATTCGTGTAAGATTTTAAAAGAACATTAGGTTTTTGCTTTCGCTGTTCGTGTACCTGTTCCACCAATTTGATCTATATACATGTCCCTTGGCTTTTGTCTGGTTCATACAACAGCATGCTAGTCTCGTAAGGACTCGTAAGGACTAAAAATTAGTAATATTGCCGAACAAAGGATGAAACTTAACATTCTGTCTCACAACCCACAAAATGCAGGAAAAAATTGTGTACAAAATCAAACAAAATTAACTAATCTATTAAACTTGTATGTTTTATTTCAGATTAGCCGATTCCTTTGATGAACACAGTCGGCTAGGTTTAAAGAACCCCAATGCTTACCTTGGAAACCCTATCAATGCATTCTTATTTGTTAAAAAGTTTACAATTGATTGGGAAAAATACGTTGAGGAGTCAATAAAACACAAACAGACACAAGGTATTGTATCAATAGTTTCAAATGTCTAAATTTAAATCATGATGACTGAAATTTTTTTTAATTTAAATCATGATGAATGAACAATGTTTTTAATTTTCATTTCAGTTTTTTGACTATTTTCTTTTATCACATGTTTTCATGAAACATAATAGTATATATCATTTCAACAAAAATTGTATATTTTGAACTCTAAAATATAAGGACATTGCTGAAATTGGGAGAAAAACCACCCACTTTGCAGAAGAAACGACAGCGGCAAATTATTCTATGAACCGAAAATGGGCAAAATTAACTTTTTCCTTTGTTTTGTCGTCAAATCTATATATATCCAATTAGTTAACAATTTTTTGAAAATGACGTCATTGCACATATCAATTTGGCAAATGCGACGCGTGTCTATTGAAGTATTTAATTTTTTGTTTTGAAGGATTTAAGAAAGGGAACTTGACACAGAAATTTAGAAAGGGTCTGGATGGGGTTAACAGAAAAGAGAATAATGGGCCGATACAACAGAAAAATAGGCAAAAAAAACCCACACAGAACAGAGAAGAATAGGCCAAAGAAAACTAAGAATAGAGAAAATTTGGGTGCTAAAACAGAAAGAATGGAGAATAATGGGCAAAAAATATAAAGAATATTATAGAGAAAAATGGGCAAAAACTATTAAGAATAGAGAAAAATTAGATAGAAATGAAGGACCCCCTCAAGACCCTCATTTGTGGTTAACACTGTCATTTACTACTTTCTGTTCACATTTATTTAGTTTTAAGCATCACTGACAAGAAATAAAATTTGAAATGTGTGAATATTACATCTATGTTCTATGTTGTAATCGTGTATTAGTTGTAACAAAGTTCAACTTATTACAATAATAAACATATGACATTGAGAAACAAGACATTTATCAAAATATTTCTGGTCACATGAAAAGATTACATGTAACAACCAACTTGCGGCCAGTCAATTGATTTAGCACATTGCAAAGTTGACCTTAGATAAATTTGGCTATTTTTAGGTCCTTTTTGGTCATATATAGCTCTTCTGCTGTTTAGGTTATTATACATTCTTGGCTTTCAAATATTAGGCTTTGAGCGTTCCTAAATCCAGAAAAGCGCTTCGGACGCATGCAATTTATAACGTGTTGTTTTCATTTTTTAAAGGGCAATCATGTGACGACTGCTACTTAATCTTGAACTTTCCGCTTGAATGCATGTTCAACAAGATGAATATTATAAATTATTGAAATGTATCCCTTGCTATATTAAAACAACCCAAAAATTCTTTTGTAACTCATTCAATGGATAATTATGCGGAATTTGTCGTTTTTTTTTCAGATTTAAAGGACAAAAGTTAATACTTTTTTATTTATTAAGTTCATCAAAATATAATAACGTACTAAACACCTGTTTGATCGGAACAACATCTTCAATCTCGAAGGTGTTCAACTTGAGACATGTTTCGCGTTACTTTTGCGTTTTTTGTAGTGAGATAAAAAATGAATGAGGATCTTGATAGGGGTCATTCATTTGATTATTCTTTAATTTTTAGACAATTTTTCTCTATTCTCTATTTATTTTGGCCATTATTCTCTATTCTTTCTTTTTTTTTGCCTATTTTTCTCTAGTTTTGATTTCTTTTGCCCTTTATTCTGTACCTTTTGTACATTATTCTGTTTTCTGTAAACCCCATCCAGACCCTCGTAATTAGCACAATTATTTCATCATTATTTTTAGTAGTTATACTCATTATATTATTATTATGTGTTCGACTGTTATTTACTATCTAAGTTCGAATAAATAGTAAATCGGCTTGCCATAGACATTGCTTTTATTCGTAAAGCGTTTATTTTCAGTTACAACAGAATTTAATACTGATCTAGATCGCTTACGAAAGAGATTGCCAGATGAAGAAGATCTTACTGGATCGGTTCAAGCTATACTTCGATTACAAGACATGTATGATATTCCTGCTAAAGAGATAGCCGAAGGATCAATAGGTGGCTTAAATACTGGAGAACTTTCAGGTAGGTTACAATGTACTACTTACAGAAGGCAATAGTTAAGCCATAGGTGCTTGAGGACAGGATCCTGTGTAGAGCCCCCATAGTCCCTCCCCGTCATTATCATAAATTCCCGATTTTCCACTAAATATCAGTTATATCAGAGACATATATACACAGAGATTGGCAACTCCGTGAAATCCCGTTAAAAAACGCGGCCCGGAATGAGATTCTCGTCGATATAATTATTCTACAACATGTAGACAAGTCAGGGATGAATAACCTCGATAGCTAATCAAGAAAAGTAATAGGAAAACTTATTTCAGATCAAATAAATTCTTTTTCTAAAAAACTACTTGAAATAATATATTATATAATAATATTTTTTTAATGTATTTATTGAGAAAATATTTTTTTCTTTTTTTCGGCATTTCTTTTAATTTAAAAAGTAAAATCTGGTAATGATCATGATATTACAAGAAACATTTCTTTGCTAAAGTTTGCTTCTAAATTACACAGTGAAATTATGTGTGTCCGATTTTCCGGTCATTATTTCCTTAGAGTTGTGACTGTGGATTCACAGGTGTGCGATTACGCAAATTTATTGCCCTCCGATCACCTGAATTTTGCCGGAGGTGAAGTTCTAAGTGGATTGTTACTTGGTAATTGTTTTTACAACTAAACAAATTCTGACATTATTTTAACCATGACCAGAACTTTATTTTAACAGAAACACTGGGCTATACTATGAATAGGGTAAACGGACAGAAAGTCACAGGACATAAAGTCACAAATTGGATAGGACAAAAAGTCACAAATAATGTATTGACAATTGTTTGATTATATAAGAGAAAGATCTTCAAATAATATATTTTTTTACATTTATTCATTTTTAAGTGTGTATATATGTCTCTGGTTATATGTACCATATGTAAACCAATATGCCATATCTTTCTCTGAACCTCTATAGTCGAGTATCACATTAATAGTAAACATATATATTTAGAGTAGAAATATGGTATATTGGTATACACATGGTACAAATGAAGGGGAGGGACTATGGGGTCGGGCTCAACACATGCAGGGCCCTATTCTCATGCACCTAAGACTTAAGTGCAGTTATATATAAGGGCCAGGCCTGGGGTAATTCATGGTGGGAACCAACGAAAAACGGTAATGTTATCACACTTTTCGAATGAAACATGAACATAAGTAGAAAATCTTGCATGGTATATAAAATATCTTTTCGGCCATAGGAGATATTAAAAATTATATGTAATGCATTTTAAAAAGGGGGATAACTCTTGAAAATACGACATGATATATAATATCTAAGAACACATATCTCATTAGACTGGCGAGATTTTCAAAAACGAATTTCATATTTTTTGTTTCACCAGTAACGGAATGAAACATACTTAAAAGCTCTGTGTTACTTTTTTACTCTGTGTCACAGTTATACTGGATCTTGCATGGTTTTAAAAACACCTATAATTAAAAGTATTTAATGTTTATAATTATTGTTCTTGTTGAAGACATTTCAAATAGTTAATAACGTGGATATCACACTTATGCGTCTGTCTGAAATACCATGTAGACTATTCCCTATTCTATTACGAAATGCAATGAAAACATAAAAGCTTTCATTTGTTTCTTTTTTTTACCATGTATCACTATTAAAATGAACAAGAAACAGCTGAAAAAGCATTGCTATTTTTTCTAGTTGAAGAAAATTTAAATATATACATACGTGCATGGACATTGCACGTGTTCGTTAGTCTTAAATACCTCTCAGACTCCCCCCCACACTATTTTTCACACTAGAAATGACAAATGATATACCCGGAAAAAATATAAACTAACAATGTATCTGTTACTTGAAGGCGAAATATGCATGGTTGTACATCTGTCAGGGTATGGAAGATAACTATACTATTCATATTAATGTTCGTTAATATTTACAATCTGCAAAGAGAAAAAGACTAAATATCGAGTCGAATCGCGTCTATAGATGGCGCTGTGTAAATATCATTAGTTACTACGTTACTTGAAAAAAATATAAATAATTTTATAATTTGTTTATTTGTTTATTTGATGTTTGTTTGTTTTCCATTTCCATACACCCTTCCTGCAAATAATTGTTTTAAATTAGATAGTATGCGATCTTAATATTATATAATTCTATTATGTTATTGAAAAAGCCCAGGTGAAAGATACCACATGCCATTGGGTATTCAAACTCATATTTCGAAAACAAACTGACAATTAATGCATGCATATCGCAATATACAAAGAACGATCAAAAGACAAAAAATAGTATACAAAACACAACATTGACAACTGATAACTGCGAAACACTAACCCCATGCACAAAAACACAGGGACTTTATGCATATATCTATCAATTTATCAGTTGTTTTACTCTTTCTATTGTTTGGTTTTATTTATTTATCTAAGTTCTCAATTTATCTATATAGTTATTATTATTTCACTGCTATTACTAATTTCATTATCAGCTGACGCTTGTTTTGAATTGGGAAGGATTGCATATGAAGATGGCGACTATTACCATGGTTTTCATTGGATGGCAATAGCGAAAGAACGACTGGAGAAAGAAAGAAATAAAACGACAGAAATGTCCGATGTATTAGATTATATGGCATGGACTGCACATGAGGTAAAACAGTAAGGCGACAGTAGTTTACCGATGTTCAAATCTCGTAAAAACACTATGAAGAGATAAATCAAGATAACAAACAAAAACTGAGGGTACCGTATCAACTCAGAAAGGAGCGAGACTAGATGCGTCGATAGGATTGGCGTTTCCTGCTATGAATGCATCATACGCCTTGAAAATCCATATTCATTCAGAATGTCACAGTCGGAAATAGGATACAATCGGTAAAATTACAGAACAAACGACTGTATCTAAAGATCTACGACAGTATTTTATGTTTTAAAACTTGTGCCTACCAATATAGCTACCAAATAAAAATAATACTATATAAATATGGTGCGTCTGAAGCGGCTATTGTGGATTTATCTTCACCGGGAACGCTCAAACCTAAAATAATTGCACGCAAGGGATGTATAAATACCATGTTATAAATTAAACTTATTTCATGATTCTTATAACAAATGAGAGCACATTGACTATGGTATTCGCGATAAACAATGAATACAGTGAATGCAAACGTTCTATTCGAAACTATTTAAATATTCAGTTGGCAGATACTCTTTCGTCGTTTTAAAACTTAAAAATAGTACTCTATTTTATTTAAATGAGTATGATTGTTTACGTTTCTTTTCTGACTTCAGCTAGAAAACGACAAACTTGCTCTGGAGCTGACGGAAGAATTAATAAAATTAGGTAAGGCTTTAAGTATCGGAAAAAAATACTTAGTGTAAAAACGTTTGTGATAAAAAGACTTATGATTTGGTACACAGCAATCGCTTTTCGTCCACACAAGACTCATCAGAGGCGCTCAAATAAAAAACGAAGACCAACTCAGATAAAGATATAGAGGTGTTTTTATACATGTTCATGACTTCTCTATTATATACGACCTGTAAGAAAATTTAAACGAAGGTTTCAGTAAGAGGTAAACTAAACTATGATTCTTCTCCTTCACTCAACGAAACGATTGAACAACCGTCAATACACGATGTATTCCCGCCTGTCGAAGAACATACTGACCTACTTTCTATTCCACCTGAACTGTTTAATGTTCACGTAGAAAATTTGCAAGATGCTTTCTGAAAGAAAGAAAGTGAAGTAATCTTATTGTAGTCTTATATTAATTATTTCTTTTGAGAATAGATAACACACAAAAACTACTTAAGGTCCTGTTAAGCGTAAACATTAAAAAAAAATTCAAAAACCTGCGCCAGTGGTTGCCTATCTTGTATTTAGTTGGTTGTGTAATCTATGTGTATACATACATGTACTATTTTCAAATATCCGATTTTATGAGGTTGGTATGTCTTCATTGCTGACGTCATTTATATGATACATTCGTATCATACATTGAAAATGAACTCGACTAGTCTTATTAGGTCGATCCTATTGTTTCGAAGCTCTTAAGTAATGTTTGAATTTTGCTTCGGACAATTTTTGATCTACAGCGCAACTGATAAAGGTTATTACAGACACACGAGTCGAGCGCAATAAAACTGATATAGTGCCTTTATTTTACTACTACTTGGACAAAATGCTTGGTTCATAGATAAGTAGATACAATTGTTAGAAATATGAAACATATTAGAATTTTTGTAAAATGTTGTTTCTTTTTTTTATTTTAAGTTTTGGTTATCATTTTTATTTTAAGTTTTTGTTATCAAAAATGTCATCTTATACTTGACTTACAACAATACTCACACTGCAATTTTGATTTTACCGTTCGTATTGGTAAACACAATTGGTTTTACTGGTTATATTTTTTTTTAGATCAACTTATAGGTTTTACGATTAATATAACGATTTTAAACGTTTTCGCCAATTACGTCTGCATAATTTCGTCATTGATACGTCGAAATTTAAGATAATACCACTAAGTTTTCTTTAACGTTGCGATTTTTTAATTATTGATATGACATTTGAAATGTATTTAGGAAAATGGATTAATGAAATCAAAATGACTGTCAAAGTCCTTTAGGCGCTACAATTTCACATCTGCTATGTCACTGCTCTTCTAAACCCGTATGCAAACAAAACAGGTCCATATTGAAATAAACCAAACATTTTGACATGATGACATTTCTTTTAGTCACTGTCAATAACTTTCAAAATAGTATTTCATTTTAAAGCATTACAAAGATCACTTACTTTCTAACATTACATTAGTCATACACGTTGACCAAAAAAGTATAACAAAAATACCGAACTCCAATGTAAATCCGAAAAGGGGAAGTCCACAATCGATATTGATCAACGGAACAAGTGAAAAACAACACTTGGTACAGGCATTTTCCGAAGAAAATGTTGGGTTGAACCTGGTTTTATAGCTAGCTCAACCTCCCACTTATATGCCAGTTTTTTTATAGTTCCATTATATTGACAAAATTAGGTAAGCAACCCAAACAGACATAATAGGTTGATTTGACAATTATTGGGTTGTAATCTTCTAGAAGGGCGCACACAATATATCGATTTGTGCACGTGAACAGTGATTTGTTAAGCAAAACACTTTCACAAATAAGACTTTGCAGTGACATCGTTACTTTTGATGGTTCATTTCTTACTGATTTTAAGTAACTATGTATTTTCATATATTATTTTGTTAGATTTATGTTATACATAAGCCAAATTTCATTTTGGAATTCAAAATTATTCCTTCGTGAACCTACCATTTCCGCCAAAAAATCCTCTTACCAAATACTAGTATTCAATAATTGATTTTTTAGAATATGTTAACCATTCTTAGTTAAGTTAAAAACAGCTTCAAGTAGAAAACAGGGGCCTCGGTGGCCGAGTGTTCTAAGCAGTCGAACTACTGTATCACTAGCCAGTCAACACTAAGGTTGTGAGTTCGAATCCCGCACGGGGCAGGTGCACTCGACTCCAATCTTAATTGACTAGGATTGTCAGTTTTCCAACCGAAGGTCGGTGGTTCTCTCCGGGCTCTCTGGCTTCCTTCACCAATAAAAACTGACCGCCACGAAATAGTATAATAGTGTTGAAAGTGGCGTTTAATACCAATCAATCAATTAATCAAGTATAAAACCATTCGGGAAATGAAGCTTTATAATGATTCTAACAATGTTTTTTTTAATTGTTGCTCTTTTTTGCGAAAAAAGAACTGTAGGGTTTAAACTTTATTTACAATTACAAATAACATATTGTTTGCTTAACCAAATCTTTTGTTGTATGCGTAGTGTCTCAAAGTTCATTTGATCTTGACATTTTTCACAAACCCATACTGTGCTGTAATGTTATTTCTTTATAGAAAAACTTAATGAAATATTACTTTATTTTATATCATCCATCCTTTTTTATTTTCTCAATCATGCTGTTTTGTACAGGAGGTAACTTTTTGCATGTTTTCTTTCCGTGGAATTTTACATATTATAGTGTTATGTTCCACATTATTTAATTCAATACAATATATAGTTTGCAGTCAACCATTTCTCTAAATCTGTATACATTTTAACCTGAAAAGTCATACGTTCTATAAATTTGTTTCTTGTTATTTTCCGTCATACCCATCTGGAATTTTGAACTCGGCATTTTTTCCTTAAATTATTAGAATACATACAGACATTTATCAAAAACTAACATACACAAGATGTACGAAGCAAAGCAGAATGAATCTCAAGCTATGTGGACATAAACTCATTATATATACCAGGATTACAATTGTGTACGCCAGACGCCCGTTTCGGCTACCAAAGACTCAACAGTAAGTCCCAAATCAAAAAAAGTTTTAAAGTCCAAATAAAGTACGAAGTTCAACAGCAATGAGGACTCAAAATTCCGAAAGGTTTGGCAAAATACAAGTGGTCTTTTTTTAAAATTACAAGATCGGTTAAACAAAATTGCAAAGATGACACTATATGAACTTCTATAATTTTTGCGGAAACTTCTCGCCGTCATTGCGACGATTTATTTATTTCGCGATTTCCCGATATTCTTGATGTATTCATCGGGGAGATCCAAGTTTAACATTATCACGATGATTTATATTTGCGTTATTTTTTTACTTGCGAAAATCGCAAACAATTAGTTGGTTTACATAATTGATCAATTATGTGTCGCATTATAAGTTTTGATGTTTTTTTTTCCAAATATTTTTCACATGAATTAACCTAAAAGTTAACCACTGGCAAGACCAAGTATTAATTTTTGAATTGCTTGTATCTTATTTCATTTATGTTGAGTCATTATACTATAAAGATATCCAATATATATTCGGGTCTAGTATATATCGTCTTTATTTTAACCATTTTAGTTATCTTTAAAATATTTTAATTTTTATCTTCTCCTTCGTATATTTTCTTTTATATGTTTTCATATTCTGTAGTTTGTGAAAGAAGTTCTGAATATTTGTTAGGATTTAAACGTAACGTAGATTAGAGGAAATAGTTTATGACGGATTTTCAAATCTCATAAATTCATTAGGAAGATCCAAACCGAAAGGCGCGAATACGGCATACGTCAAAATGATAAACGTCTCAGCCACGCATGCATCACCCACCACGGTAAACAACACATTAAAAAAAACCACACGAATAAAAATGATATTGTTTCAGTTTATACATCCGCAAGATTCGAACATGTATTCTTTTTTGTGAATTTATCTTTCTTTAAGGTTTTTTTTTCTATTTGTGACATTATCTCAAGAATAGTGAGGGCAGTGACGTTTTTAAAAAAAATCTTAATAGCAATTTACGTTTATTAAGTATTAGTATCAAAAAAGTATATTTAAAATGCCATGCCCATATGCGATGTTTTCGTCACAATTTAATCAACAATTTGTTATGTGACAAAACAATTCATCAGGTTGTGTAACATCAACAACATCTAGCAAGGAGTTTAAATGGTGAGCAATAGCCTACTGTACATCTTGTTGGCTCAGTTGTCTGGTATATCAACGATTTAATATAGTTCTTTTGTTTATAAAATCTCTGCTAATAGTTATATAATGTAACAAGAGAATAATGTTACAACTCTCTACGGCAAAGTTGAGACTTTTATGCATTTTATTACCCTTTTGTGTTATAGTTTCTAAAGTTTTATTAATATCTTACTATATCATGACATAGCTCTTTGTTTTTTAAATTTTATCCAGAATTCTGATTCCATCGCATGAGGACCAGTATGTTTTACTTTCAACCTCAGAAGGAAAACATTTTTACAAAGTACTAGTTATATGTAAAATGTGTGCATCACTAATTATGACCATCACAATTAGCTATAAGAAGAACGAAATAATTATATTACAAACATTACAGTTCCAGATCATTTACGAGCAAAGAACAACAGACAAGATTTTATTGAGAGAGTCAAGAAAGCATCCAACGACACGTCCCGTGTGAAACGTGACTTGACTAATACAACTCACTATGTACCAAAACCTACACCTGAGTACAATGGGACTCCAGAATTACGATCATATAAGCGCTTATGTAAAGGCTTGGATGTAAAGGTTCGGTATGAATTTGTTTCATATGGCTTGTTAAATAAATTCTCGCAACTACTGCATTAAACGTAAAAAAAATTAAGTCACTGCCATGCGGTGGTCACTCGTTATGTTTACTATCCCGAGTCAATGGACAACTACAGAATATTTGTTTTTTAAGATGTGGTTCCTTTGGGCCTTGTACTCCTAAGATAGGACGTTTTTTAAAAATATAAAACAAATATAAGTTGACGCCTTACACATTGCGTATATAAAGTTAATGAAGAGGAAACACTATATGATATTGCATTTGACATAAAAGAACAGAGATTTTACATAAAAAGGCTGACCGAAAATTAAATCCATTATAAGCATGCATAGATGATCTCAGCAGATCATAAAATTGAGAATGGAAATGGGGAATGTGTCAAAGAGGCAACAACCCGACCATAGAGCAGACAACAGCCGAAGGCCACCAATGGGTCTTCAATGCAGCGAGAAACTCCCGCACACGGAGGCGTCCATTTACATTTATATGAAATCCATATTCCTGTCAGTCCATTTCAAAGTATTATTTAGAATAACACGAAAACAACTTATGTCGTTTATGTGACTAGACAAATGTGCAATACCATCAACTATTTTCGTTTGTTATCCTATTTCATGTCGTACTTCTGGACTGTTTTACAAAAAATTATAGACCCGTGAATTTTTTTTCTGTTTTCTTTTAACAATAAGCCTCGAGAGAAGATGAGCAGTATAGTGTGCAGATATCGACATAACAACAACCCACGACTACTTTTGTCACCTATAAAGGAGGAAGAGGTGTACAGGGATGCAAATATGGTTCTGTTTCATGATATAGCTTCGGATAAGGAAATGAAAATTATCAGATCTTTGGCCATACCAAAGGTATATTAATTTAATGCTATATAAATTGAGTGATACAATACATTTAGTAGATTCAAATCGTCTTGGTCGTGAGAGGATGAGGATGCGGCCGATTCAAACCAAACAATTAACATTTTGTTCTTGTGGCTTTTACGCCACGCTCACCAAATTAAGGACTAAAATCAAAGTCATTTAGATTGAGGCGAGAAAACAAGTGTCCATGTAATGTGTATACCTATGAGTGAGTAAGGAACATGGAATACAAGCACAACGTGTCATAGTAGTGCAAGACATCGTTTATTACGTATAGAGTCATGAACGAAATACTATATTGCATAATTTACAAAAGTACCATAAATACATGAAGTCGCAGTTGTTTTTAACGCTGTAAATTGTATTGGAATTTTATTTACAAAATAATCTTGGCATCGTGTTGTTATCGTTATAGGGCCTAATGAATTCTAACTATTAAAATGTTAAAAGTCTGTGTAAGAACTTAAAACAATTAATATTGCAAAGTTTCTACACACCCTTATGCGCATTTGAAAAAAAAATCGATGACAGATGGAATGGACTGTCTTTTGTTAAAGATGTCATGTATTTTGTGTTCTTGTTTTACATTGCGTTTGCCGATCGCTATCTGATTTACACATATGCTAAAATACACACTTTAAAAACTTTATGCATCCGAAACGTTTTTTTATACCTAGATACCTTATTATAATGTTATGGGGATCTTCTACTTTTATGTGGTTTTACATTTTATGGTAAATAAAGCACAATACAGGCTTTTATTGTCATCTTATTGCACTAAAAAGCTAATATAATTTTTATTCATTACATCAATTGTTATATTGCAAACCTGAGAAGTACTAATCTGTAAAACACACGTGCTAGAGTTTTCTTTTATTGTCAGTATGCCTTACGGTAGAACATTTAATATGTGAACCTTATCTATTTGATTAGAATAAAACAAAATGTAGGGACCATGAAATGAGACCAACACAAACAAAAATCACCAGAAAATGTCATATAAGGTGGTACATAACACTACAGGGAGATAACTCTGTAAAAATCAGCTGAACGTTTTAATCACATTCTATTGTTAAGGAAATATCAAGCTTCTCAATGATAAAAATTTAAGTCAATGTGTTTGGTACTACAATAAACAACAATTACCAAAAACAGACAAACAAAACCGAAAACAAAATGAAAATAAACAAAAGCAACTATACGAAATTAAATTGAAAAAGACATCATGTCGTCTTAAAATTCCAAAAAATATCTTTCAGTTATTTAGAGCAACAGTCCACGATCCGACAACAGGAAAACTAATTCATGCAAAATACAGAATAACAAAAACGTAAGTTTTAAATTATATATCCCTATTTCTTTTTTTCAACTAAATACACACAACCACTTCAATAATAGTTATAAACTGCGACGATACTACTGTAGCCGTAATTAGAAGCTTGTCCTCCAGTTAATGTACAAAAACATTCATATGAAAATAAGGAGGTCTGGTATGATTGCCAAAGAAAAGATAAAAGGCAAGGATTTGAACAACAAGTCCTACTAGCCCGTCAAGTACGACTAGCCTGTCAAGTACGATGGACACCGGAATTTATTATTAGATATTCAACATATAATAAATATTGCATACATTGTTTGAATAAACTTCCATAAATTTCATTTACTGATCATTTACAAAAAACTAAGAAATCTCCTCCCCGTACCAACATTCAAGGCACGCCCAGGAAAAACCAGAGATAAAACCATATAGAAAAACGATGGTCATAAAAGCTCGGGAAACCTGTGTTCTCTAACAAAAATACCTTTCGAAAGACCGTCTCATAGGAACAACTCGAGAATTTGCGTTGATAATGAACTTTCAATCCCAATGAAAATATACACTAATAGTCTATATAACATTTTGAAATTGAAATACAGTAAATACAGTTCAGTAATTTATCCTTACGGTAAGGAATGAATCAATTCAATATTTTCTGTTATTATCATCCTAAAAAGTCATAAAAAGAACAACAGATTTCTAAATGGAAACTTTGCTAGCAATAAAACCAGGTTTATTCCACCATTTTTTTATAAGTTAATGCATGAAACAAGTCAGAAATATGACAGTTGCTTTCCATTCGTTTGATGTGTTTGAGCTTTTGATTTTGCAATTTGATAAGGGACTTTCCGTTTTGAATTTTCCTTGGAGTTCGGTATTTTTGTTATTGTCTTTTTGGTACGCCAGACCTGCGTTTCGTCTACAAACGACTGATCACTGGCGCTCGAATAAAAACATATGGAAGACAAACATAAATACAACATTGAAGAGCATTTGAAAACCAACATTTGAAATAGTTGTAACAAAGACGGCGAATGCAATGTATATATGTGGATAGATAAATCTTAGTGTTTTACATAATTCAACATTTTATGAATAGTAAATTTACAGAAAATGAAAGTATTAATGAAATATCATATCAACACGAAATTGCTGACTACTGGGATGGTGTTACCCTCGTTGACGAAATACCTCCTAGTAGTGATCGTAAAAATTCCACAAAGATACCGAGCTTATAATTTGGTACATAAGACGCGCGTTTTGTCAACATAAGACAGCGGCGCTCTAATAAAACAGCTGAAAGGGCAAATCAAATGTAAAGTATAATAACATTGAAAACCAAAAATTTTGTCGAGGCAGTCTACGTATGTGGGTAGAATAACCATAGTATTTCGTAGTATATGATATTGCATAAACATTAAACATATTACAGAAAATGAACGTCTCAAAGATATTTCAAAAATCTTCTGTGACTGGTTTTGAAGCTGCCATTTGATCTCTCTCTCTATTTTATATATATATATATATACATTCACAAATTTTGAAGGCCATATATACATATATATATGGCCTTCAAAATTTGTGAATGTACCTGTTGAAGTTTACTGAAGTAATATTTGTTAAACGTACTGTAATAAAACATGTGTTTAAAGTACCTACATGAGCAACACAACGGGTGCCACATGTGGAGCAGGATCTGCTAACCCTTCTGGATCACCTGAGATCAGCCACCGGTTTTTTGTGGGGTTCGTGTTGCTCAGCCTTTAGTTTTCTATATTGTTTTCTTTTTATACTCATGTTTGTCTTTTTTGTCGTTTTTTTAATTTTGTCATGGCCTTGTAAGCTTGTTTTCGACTGATGAATTTGAATGCCCTTTTGGTATCTTTCGACTCTGTTTAACATTTATGTGTATAATATAAAACTAAAGAGATGTGGTATGATTGCCAATGAGACAACTATCCACTAAAGTTCAAATAAAGTGGATGTAAGCATTATAAATCTGTTTCTATTGTTCTCATATAACAATAATTTGTTACTGCTGATCGAAGTCTTATCTATTAAAAGCTCAAAATAAACCTTAGTAGTTACTGGTTCTTTAAGGGCATACGATACAGTTGTGATCAAACGGTTACTTGTTAACGAAAATTTGCATACAAACTATTTTTCCCTTAGCAATTCTAAAATATGTAAAAAAAAAAATATACCTTCATGTGCTACTTTTAGAGATAAATGGGGTTGAAATTTTAGACATTTACTCCAAATTTCAGATACTTGGATATTTTCATCCATTGGATAGACATACTTTTCTTTTTTGTTTCAAAAGATAAACACAAAATGATTTTTGTAAAAACATTTGGAATATGTGATTAACATAAGTATGCTCTAAATTTGAGCAACAATTCTTTAGAAATAATTCATTTTATTAACTTTTCATAATTTTGGATAAAATACAGGATTTCTTGTGTATATTTATCTACAAAAAAAATCCATCGTTGATTTGTTCATAAAATTTGGTACAGATAATCTTCATACATAATCAAACCAAATGTCATTTTAAAAAATATGGGTCAATGCACTCGTTTTCAAGCGAATGATAAAAATTAGTAGAAAAATACATCTCTTCCCAAAATGTCACAGTTCGACGTTAACATTTACGTTAGCAACGTCATTATCTCACCTGTAACTGTATCGTGTGCCCTTAAACAAGATAAAAATCATACTTTGTTTCTATACATACTTGTAGGGCATGGTTAGAAGATCGCGACCATTCAGTCGTTGAAAGAGTACAAAATAGAATAAAAGCTGTAACAGGTCTTGATTTGGATTCAGCAGACTCATTACAGGTAGGATTTGATCACATTTTAAATATTTCTTAAGGTGGTATATAACACTACAGGGAGATAACTCTGTAAAAATCAGCTGAATGTTTTAATCACGTTCTGTTGTTAAGGAAATATTAAGCTTCTCAATGATCAAAATTAGTGTTTGCAAACTACTATATATCCAATGAAATTTTTCCGATAAAGTAATTGGTTCGAGTTTTTTGAAATTTTTATATTATTGTCAAAGGGTCAAAGTAAATGTATATATATATCGTGGATTCATTTTTGTACATACATTTCGTGGGTTAATCGGGTTAAAACGTCACCAGTGTCTGAGCAGAAGGTTGATGAACCAGGGTTATGTCAAAGAACGTCTCGTCCTTTTTCTAAAAAAGTTCATCGGAAGATACTAAGACCTTGTTGATAAATATTCCGTATCAACTTCACAAATAATACATGATAGTCTTGAAGTATAGATTATAGATACTGACGTTGTTTATCATCTTAATTACATGTTATGATGTTCTTTTATTTGTCTTAATTTTTTGTATATCATTAACCTTTACTGTTTAGTTCATTTTTGGTAATATCCTTTTGGCGTGGCTTGTTATTTATGCATCCCGCCATTGTGTTGTTGTGCTGTGATAATTTTTCGTATTCTTGTCTTTCATTTTTGCTTATGTGGTTTGTCTATATGCCATTTTGTTTTTTTTGTTGACATATTTGTTTGTTTTTATAGTGATTAAGATTATAATATAACACAATGTTGACTGCTGTACCCATATTTTTGACATTTTTACCTATTATTTCTGTTTGTTTTGTTCACACATTGTTGTCAATATAATGGAATTTCGTGCGACTGTCATACAAGTGAAAGGTTTAGTTAGCTATAAAACCAGGTTTAATGCCTGTACCAAGTCAGGAATATGACAGTTTTTCCCCGTTAGTTTGATGTGTTTGAGCTTTTGATTTTGCCATTTGATAAGGGATTTTTGTTATTTCACTTTTTTTTTTGGAACAACGAGTTTTAAGTGTTCAGCAGAATACATATTTATTATAGGCTTGTGTGAATGAATGGGTGAGAATGATAAGTACCGATTATCAGGTTGTCTCCATATTGATATTGTAAAATATCAGCTGCGAGACACAATATGAAGCTTTTTGTTCATATTGGCCAATTTTTGACCTTTGAATTTAAAAATCAAACGATATTATGAATCTTCCAAATAACATTCTTCAAACGTGAATACGACATTAGCCTCCCAGATATCAGTGTTCATAGTTTTGAGATATGTCTTACATATATTTATTAAGGCTTCAAACATCTTGCATTTAGTGCAGATCTGAAAAAAATTTGCAAAAATAGCCTCGTTTTGAGATCTTGTCATTATTATTTAGTTATGATCTAAAGTTTTTCCCAAAAGATATTTTGCTACAAGATGTATTTTACAAAGATAATACCGCATGTAAAACATCTTTTTGCGTAAAGCATTGGCTCATCTTTTTTTTCAGTCCAAAAAAGTATATTTTTTTTTATTAAATATGTTCGCTTTCACACGTGTATGACATCATATTCACATCACAAAAAACCTTTATACACCAAATTGTCCAGATTATATCAAACTTGTCATTCATCAGTAAGGTTAATATAATTTTTTAAAAGCCAAAAAGCGAAAATAAAACTTTATGAATTTCGTGCTTCCGAAGAGCTGTTCTGGATTTGTGGAACGATCAAACCCAGACATTTGACAGCCAAGGATGCGTAAATCCCTAATGAGCCATGTGACCAAAAATGACATAAAAGGTAAAGCCAAATTTATCTAAGGTCAACATTGCCGAAGCAAGTTGGAACCTTAGTTTCTGAATGATTTTTTAATCTGTCAACGGAGAATTTAAGAAACGTTTGTTATAAATCATGCCGGTATCAAAGCACTGACTAATGAGCTAAATACTTTTACATTTTTGCAATTTCACAGGTAAAAAAGTTTCTAATCATACCGTTTCCTTTGAGAAAATTCCGAAAGCGAGTATCAGCCAAAATAAAAGAACCGTCAATGCCACATCCCATTGAGTTCACGGTAGCCCTAGGAGGTCAGTCAAGTCTAACAAAAAGTCCGTAAATATACTGATAAACATTGGCGTGAACAAAAAATAAAATAGCAAATTTCTAAGAAACTGTATGCATTTATTACCCGTCATGCAATTTCAAAGTCAGATCCAGTAGTAAATGTTACAGCTACAGTAGTAAATGTTACAGATCCAGTAGTAAATGTTACATCTAGAGAAAAAAATGGAAATAAAATAAATAACTTAGATCGAAAGACACTTTTCAAAAATACATTACAAAGGTTTGGTAAAAATCTCTAACTGTCTGACTTTATATAAATTTACAGGTTGCTAATTATGGTATTGGTGGTCATTACGATCCTCATTATGACTTTTCAACAGTAAGTACTGTTTATATTCTTGTTGATTCTCACACTCGTATATAATTGCAACTGGCTAATTATATTATTTTTTTTTGGGGGGGGGGGGGGGGGTGGTAACGATCCACATTATGACTTTCCAGTAGTTATTGTATTAAAAACTATACGAACCGCGGCGGCTTTTCTTTAAAATTCATTCATTTGCACTACGCAGAATTGCATTTATGTATTAAATATGTTTCAAAATCAGAATTAAATAGTTTCAACCCTTTTTTCGTATAGTATGAACAGAGTGCATACTATGTCATTGAATTTATATGAATAAATTGAAACTACATTAGTTTACCGATATTCAAACTTTATCTCGAATAAACTCCAGAAGGTGCGAAGATGGGTGAGTCGACAGGAACTGGATAAGCGTATCATGCTATGTATGTACCCACACCAGTTAAAAATGTCACAATCGGGACACATAAATCACAGAATAAATGGGAAAATACATTCCTAACTATTGTGGGTATATATATGATATACTAAGTTAACTTTTTACTCTAATATTAAAGTCTTTATTTTACATGTTAGAAATGAATTGTGTGGTTATTTGTGGACATATGTGGCCTTTTTTTGGCGTAAATTACAAATTGGCAGTTTTTTTTTGTAATCTATGTGTTCTTAGCTCTATGGGTATAACACAATGATTCGACTGTATGTCAAAGTTATAAAGATTATGTAACTGTTTTCTTAAATTGCCATTAGACAATGTTTTCTAGCATCAACTTAGACGTTTGATTCCAATCGACATTATTTTACGTCATTAATGCGTTTGTTCGGCATGACATCAATGGTAGTATGCTGGTAAAGGGCAGAATTTAAAATCCCATATCAATAATTACTGAACTTATGTATAGTGATTTTTAATCATGGCATCTTTATTAGTTTAACTCATATGAATAACAAAAATATTTAAATTTATTATATAATACAATTTTGGTAATCTTTTTTTGTCTGCCTTTAAATTACGGTTAATTTTTTCTTTTCTAAGTTTAATACGGAATAATTTTTATAAAATAGAATTTCAAAAACCTTTCGGATTTTTGGGTCCTCAGTGCATTTCAATTTCGTACTTTAGTTGGCATTTTTATTTTCTTGATTGGAGCACCACTAATGAGTCTTTTGTTGATCATCGAAATTGGGAACAAAATTATAAGCCTGGTATCTTTGATGAGTTTTTTAAAAGCTAAAACACATTCTCCCATATCAAAAAAGATACTGGAAAATTTTCAAATAGAAATAAGAAGATGTGGTATGAGTGCCAATGAGACAACTCTCCATCCAAGTCACAATGCGTAAAAAGTTAACAATCATAGGTCAAAGAACGGCCTTCAACACGGAGCCTTGGCTAATACCGAACAGCAAGCTATAAAGGGCCCCAGAATGACTAATGTAAAACAATTCAAACAGGAAAAACTGTAGACACACTATAAAATATCAATTGAAATGGCACTGTGTGAGGGGATAATTCTGTTTTCGGATAGTTATTTTTAAAACCCGCACTGTATGTTAGGGGTTGTCTGAAGTTTTCCACCTGTACATTTACTGTTTTAAGTACATCAGCATGACATACCAGTAAATGAATATTGCGGGAGTACATGATGCATTTCATATGTTTTACCTTTATTATGTATTTATCATTACAGAGAGATGACGAAGACACATCTGAATTGGAGAAAAGAGATGGAAACAGAATAGCTACTTTTCTTTTGTATGTAAGTAAACAACAACAACGTCTTTTATCTAATTGTCAAAAAATCGTAAAGGGTACCGTGGAACCCTGTGTATCGCCTGCGATGCTGCTGTCAGCGTTAAAGTATAATGTTGACTGTAAACAGTTACTCCATTTATCAGTAAAATACAGAATTTAATGATAAATCTAAATTTTTCTTTAGATTTGCTATTTCTTGATTTTGAAGATTAGCTTCTGTCCAAGTTTCATGAAAGTCCATGATTATTCACAAATTTATCATGTAAAAAATTTGATCGCAGATACAAAAGGGACATTCAAACTCACAAGTCGTAAATAAAATAACCTGACACTGCCATGGCAAAAAAAGAAAACGAAAAATTTTTTAAAGACAGACAGCAGTATAAAAAACATGTTAATGTTAATATCATGGTTAACTGCAAAGAAATAAGTCCATCTATCAGCAAAATACTGAAAATGAAAAAAAAACTTTCAAAATGTTGCTTCAGACATTATCTGTTAATCATAAGTTTCTGCCAAAGTTTCATAAAATTCTATGTAGGTTTGATAAGGTAATTAATGTGTAACAAACTTTAACTGCAGACTATATCTTCTTGTCAACTGCAACAACAACAAAAACAAGTCCTTTTATCAGAAAAATACGGAAAAATTAAAACAAATATTTTTTTATTGATTTGCTCTGGATACAGTCTTTTAATCATGACACAGCTTCTGTCCAACTTAAGTAAAATTGCACGAAGGTATGAAAAGTTATTGATGACTGAAATACTTTAGTCTTAAACTGTGTCTAAAGGTTAACTGTAAAAACAAATTAGTCAATTCATCAGTAAAATACAGGAAAATAAAAATAAATATTTTTAAAATCTAGCTCTGAATACCGTCTATATTGATCATGAATGAGCTTGTGTACAACTGAAGTAAAATTCCATGAAGGTTTGACAACGTTATTGATGACCTGAGATTGTATGTAAAAGTTAACTGTAAAAAAAACTAAGTCCATTTATGAGTAAAATACGGAAAATGAAAATATCTATTTTCTAAATGTTGCTCCAGATACTAATACTGTCTTTTGGTCATTAAAATGCTTATGTCAAAATTTCATAGAATTCCATAAAGGTCTGAAAAAGTTATTGATGTCTATAATGACTTTAATACAGGCTGAACCTAAATGTTGACAACGGCATCTACGAACGATGTATCTCGCTTTCGCGACATTCGACAAAAATGAGGAAAAGCTGACGAAAAACGCAATGATGTCTTTCCCAAGAAGTGAATATTTGTGTATACAAATTGAAAAAAAAACAACAAGAAAATAGCCAAACGTTCATTAAAATCGATATGACGGTAGTAAAGTGAACATGGTTTAAACAACAGACAAACATCAGAGTTAAAGGTTAAAAAGTAAAATAACAAAAATACCGAACTCCAAGGAAAATTCAAAACGGAAAGTCCCTTATCAAATGGCAAAATCAAAAGCTCAAACAAATCAAATGAATGGAAAAAAAGCTGTCATATTCCTGACTTGGTACAGGCATTTCATTATGTAGTTTTTTAAGCAGTTTCTGCAATGCTTCATAACCTATGATGTGATTCCAAAGTATTTAACCTTTTGGAGCACAAGAGATCATTCAACGTTTTTGGTGGATTAATGTTGCTAAGTCTAAAGTATTTTATGTAGTGTGATGTGAACTTGGTTGTCTAATCGTCGTCTTTCGTTTTTTGTTGCCATGACGTTTTCAGTTTCTCTCGACTTATGAGTTTCGAAACACCTGGGTTTTTCTACTCCTAGGCATATTTTACGGTAGACTAATTTGACACAACTTTTCGGAATTTTCGGTTTTTAATGCTCTTTAACTTTGCCTTTGGATTGCCTTTTTAACTGTTGATTCGAGCTCCACAGTTGACTCTTATATAGACGAAACGCGCGCGAATCCACAGTTGACTCTTATATAGACGAAACGCGCGCGAATCCACAGTTGAATCTTATATAGACAAAACGCGTGCGAATTCACAGTTGACTCTTTTATAGACGAAACGCGCGCGATTCCACAGTTGACTCTTATATAGACGAAACGCGCGGGAATACACAGTTGACTCTTATATAGACGAAACGCGCGCGAATTCACAGTTGACTCTTATATAGACGAAACGCGCGCGAATCCACAGACGACTCTTATATACACGAAACGCGCGTCTGGTGTATTAAATTATAAGCCTGGTATCTTTGATGAGTTTATACATTACGTAATTATGAGTCGATATTCTTTATTAGTTTTTTTTCGGTAAAGTCACTTCCAAATGAAAGTGATGGGTTGAACATTGATTCACAGAACCACAAACACCCTATTTGTATGACAGTTATCAGAAGTTTGAAGCGTATCTATTTAGTTGCAGTTAATGCTAACAATTAGAAGGGAAGTGCCTCTATTCATGTATTTACTCATTCCACATATTCATAAGGATTTTATAAAAATAATATTTCTTCTACAAATTGAGTATGGTAAGTTTGCGGTAATATGTTTGGGTTGGGATAAATATATGTCTTAAGGAGATTAAAGTAAACATCACTGATCATTCAATATAATTTGAGCCTTATGTTATAACTATGATCTTATTCTGGTTACATACATAAGTATATTATAAGAATTGAATGCTTCTTTTTAAAATTTTGTCTGGGTGTAAAAGCGTTGACCGACGCACATATTGTATGAAGTGCTTTATACTAAAAAAAAGTGACGACGATCAACGCTTTAACAACCCTAAGAAATAATAAAAAGAACCATAAGCTCAATTCTTGTAATTACTTGTAATGCTACAACCATGAAGTCATATGATTTATATCATTTTTTTTTCTTCATTTTTTTCCCTGTCATGACTGTTGCATTTTTATTCGGGAGATAAAATATAATTTTGGAATGCCTAATCAAAAGTACGCATTCTTATGAAACATACATGTAATGTAAGTATTACATCTTAAAACCGATCTAGCATTTCCTTTTTAAATTTATACATCAAACAATTTAAGGTTATTTCGTTTTAAATTGAATTAATGCATATTTCATATTCGTTTCTAACAATAGATTTGTTTTCTATTTTTAAGATGACAGATGTCGACGCGGGTGGTGCCACTGTTTTTCCAATAATAGATGTAAGAGTACTCCCTAAAAAGGTATGTTAGAAATAACTACAGCTCGTTACAATTTACAATAATTCTTTCACGCCAGGTTGAAAACTCGTTGGTGGTCTTGGGCTGTTTTATGCTCTTTGGTCGGGTTGTTTTCTCTTTGACACACTCCCCGTTTCCATTCTCTATTCTATTCTCAACCTTTATCCATTTCCTGCCTATTCCAACAAGTTTTTACAGCTATAAAAAGGTCGTTTTAGAGACCTTGTGGATTTATTTGCAGACGTTAGTGATTTAATTAAGGACTTCTATAATGTCTAGAGTAGGGGCATTAAGGCCCAGTTAAGGCCTAATAAATTTAATATTTTGAGAACTATTTTAAATCTGCACATATTTTTTGGAAATGCATGAAATCAAGAAATATAAATGAATAACTTATGATTTTGATGTTATGACGTCACAATTACGTCATTATTTGCATCGTTTTCATGAAAACGGAGAGAACTGCATAATTTATGCAGTTTTCCATCGTTATTTCCATTGTGAAAACATCTTTTTAAATTCAGTGTCATCTTGAATTTGTACATAACATCATTGGTTAGCGGCAGTGTAAACAACAGTTAATGGCCTTCCAATGAGAATCAATTGTGCTTCTTTTCTCTTTGACATGTTCGTTTATTCGTATGAGCCTCTAGAAGAATGCAAAGAAGTTAGCATTATCCATTTATACTCCACGTTCGGCTAATGAGATGGTGTCGTATTAATTAATAATTCAAAGTGTGATTGATAAAATGATCGATTTTATCAAATTGTGAACATGACATAAGGGATATCACAGATACAGTTTAGTCAGGTTCATATCTTGACTTTAGAAATTGACAGTGAACTTCGGTTGAAAACTCAACTTTACGCCAAAACTGAGGCAGAAGATACTAAAGGGAAAATCAAATAACAAATATCGAAGGAGATCATTTTATTGTCAAACAGATAAAAATTACAGAAAAATACAAAACAGAAAACTTGACAACTGAACAACAGGTCACCTACCAAAAACCCGGATTGATTTCTAGTGCTGAAGAAGGGTAATCAGAGTCTTCTCCATAACTGACAGCTGTGTGTTTCTCATTGCAAGTACGAATTCGGTAATGTAATAATCTAAAAAAAAGAGTAGTCCTTTGTTAATTCATGTATCATTGTCATTTTGCTTAGTTTCTTCTGTTACCTAAACTGCGTTTAACTGTGCGTATTGCTGTGTGTTTGTTTATTCTACATTGACTAGAGTATAGGGGGAGAGTTGAGATCTCACAAAACATGTTTAACCCGCTACATTTTTGCGCCTGTCCCAATTCAGGAGCCTCTGGCCTTTGTTAGTCTTGTATGTTTTTTTTTAATTCTAGTTCATTTATATGTTTCGGAATTTAGTGTGACGTCCATTTTCACTGAACTAGTACACATTTTTGTTTAGGGGCCAGCTGAAGCCCGTCTCCGGGTGTGGGATTTTCTCGCTGTGTTGAAGACCCATTGGTGACCTTTGGCTGTTTTCTGCTCTTTGGTAGGGTTGTTGTCTCTTTGACACATTCCCCATTTCCATTCTCAATTTTACACGTAGAACATATTTATGTTCGTCTGTGTACCTCTTTATATCTTCTCCCTATTTAACATGTGTTTGTTATTCAGAAAACTGGCTTGGGACATGCACATATATTTGGGCGAATTTAAAAACGTTTGTGAACGCTCAACCATCCTATAGCTTTGAACAGGGATGTAACAACACTCCATGAGAACAAACTGTAAACATGACTTTTGGAAAAGACTTGACTCATCAGATCGGTACTGTGCACATGTATAAATTTACCATCAGGGATTACGGTATATTTAATTTAAACCTATGCATTTGATTTGCAGGGAACCGCAGTATTTTGGTACAATCTTAGGAGAAGTGGTAAAGGAATCATGGAAACAAGACATGCTGCTTGTCCTGTATTAGTTGGTACTAAATGGGTATCCAATAAATGGATTCGTACAAGAGGACAAGAATTTAGAAGACCATGCGGGCTTACTGAAGATGAATAAACTATACATTCCGTTTCAAGTGCATTCAATTTTTACGCCAAATGGTATAGAATTTGTAAAATACGTAATTTTCATCCATTGGAGTAAAAATTGTTTGATGATAAAATGATTTATGTTGTTGAAATATCAATAAATCATGTGTTTACACATTATAAAAAAAATAACATTAAATTCTAGATTGCATGTTGTAGTTACCGGTGAACACATGTAATATACAAAAAATGAAGTGCATCTCTCAAATACTGCGAGAGGCATTATCTTAAAAACAATATTATATAAAAAGTAGAAATTTATCTTTTATGCTGATCTCAATTTTAAATGTGCAATAAAAAACGAGAACAATATTTTATTTTTCATTATTTCATGTCATGTGTATTATGTTATTATAAACGTTTATCTTGTTTTTTTTTACAGTGTGAACACTAACGTCTTAAAAGCCAATTGTATTTTCCAAATAGATTTTCAATTGTATGCTTAACACATATGAGAAGTGAGTCTTGTTTCAAATTGTGATAATGATGTCCGCTGAAGCCATATATCAATTCAGTAAAACTTTCGACTTATGTGGTTATTTAATTTACTGTACAAGTATTTGAAATAAAGTGGTCTAATATATACAGTATGTTAAGACGACTATTCTTGTGTCTTAAGGGCCATTCTCTGTTAAAACCAAAGGATATTGAGCATCATTACCAACTTATGGTTTCAGATATGCATAATATAGGCTGAATTAATGATTTGAAGTTGTCTCACTGAAAGTATTTGTAAAAAAACAGTTGCAAATTGTGTACCGTTGTCATGGTTAACGCAACATATGTAAAAAGATGTTAAGTCCTGGCAAAAAGTAGATAAAACATTGAAGAAGCAGTCATTTTCAATACCAAATTGATATACTGAATGCCTCATCCTCGTGAGATGCAAAATCTGACACCCCGTGCGACACATTACATTTTGATGAAACATTTACTTTAAAACCAAAATATATTGACTGGGAAGCAATTAGTATGTCTAATTCTATGATATGAATTCATTTCTACATAAAAAGTAAGGAAATAGGTCGCCGAAAAGTAGTTTTTATCCTAAAACTTGCATTTTAGAAGGGGTGTTTGAGAAAACAGAGCTCTGCAGACGTCTTCTTCTGCTTGCTGGGAATAATTTTTGATCAGTAAAGTCACCGGCATGGTTTTATTATTGTTTTTCACGACTTTTTCATAAGAAGAGGGAATTTCTATTGTTCTCCGTCATTGGTTTTGCCACGAATGTTGGTGTGTTTATAAATTTCGACTAATTATTTGACCTTTGACCTAATATACATGCATACATATAATAAATGCAGTGTAGTATAAACCAATGAACCTCGCGGCAGTAACCTGACAGCTCGACAAACATCTACAGGTCTGATCACGGATTATAACAATACCCATGTTTGCACACTGCATGTCAAGGACCTGGTCTACTAGACAACAATAAGTAAACACTGCCCACCAAAGATCTGTCAACAACAAATTATGTAAGCATGTTAAAAGAAAAGAAACAGAAAGTGTTGTGGGTTTATTTTTATTTTTTTTTCGTTTTCCAATTTATTCATTCATCTTCATTTCTCTATTGTTTTTTTATTTCTCATCATTTCTCTATTTATTTTATATTTATATTTGGGAGGAGGGGTATGAGGTTTTCGTTTTTTTTTTTTTTTTCTCTTTTTTTTTGGAGGGGGGGGGGGTCCTTTATCTCATCATTCTAATAACAATTATAGAGTGGACAAATCGTCTGAAGTATCCACAATACTAAAGTAAGGATTGATTGATTGGTTATTGCTTTATGCCACATCAGCGCATCGCTAGTAACGGGGAAAACGATTACTGTTATGTAGTTTTAATTCGAAAATGCTGCGCTCTCCGCACGATAAAGAACCCTTGCACATCTCTTTGAGGGGTGCGTATAGGTGGCCTGTTGCCATACCAATGTTTGTCCCTATACAACATGACCATAGTTTCCAATAGCATCTAAAATAACTGCTCATCACCCTGTCAATATACTTTGCAGAATTTACCTATAAGATGTATTGTCAATGTGTTCACATACCCTGAATATACATGAAATATGTGCCACTGGACGTTAGCAAAGAATCAATTTAAAATCCGTACATTTAAAATTAGATATATGTTCTGTCAAATTGATATAATTTTCTAGTGTATATCATGTTCAACTTCCCGATAAAGATATGTACAACCTATTATATTCATTATATCTTTTATCATAGTCATAGTCATGTAAGTGGGTTATTAACATTTTAAGCACTAATTCACTATGTGGTTGTTATTTTTAGAAAATAAATATATCATTTTACCACATTAAAAATGTGTGAACAAAATCTTTATAATAATTTTATTCAGACGGAAACTAGCACCTGGAATGGTAAGAAAATTACTTTCAAAGTTAAATACTAATCACTATTTATTCTTAAATATCACGTGTGTGTGGATGGGTCGGGCTATGCGTGCGGCCGAGCATGTGGATGTGGGAGTGTATATATATATATATTGAAAAGTAGTATTTCCGAGGCAAGTTCTAAGTTTCAAGGGTAAATCAAGAAATCCATCAGTATTCATTTGAAGTAAGACAAACCATGCAGGTCAATTGACAACAATGAATTCACATCATCATTTAAGACTTAAAATAACAATAGTGTTGTTATACATGTCATATGTAATATTTCAATGAAAATGTCTGGAGTTCCTAAGATATGGGGAGTTATATGGTGAGTTACTGAGATATGGTGAGTTACTGAGATTTGGTGAGTTACTAAGATATGGTGAGTTACTGAGGTATGGTGAGTTACAAAGATATTGTGAGTTACTGGGATATGGTGAGTTACTGAGATATGTACGTTTGTTATTAAGATATGGTGAGTTACTGAGATATATACGTTAGGTACTCAGATATGGCGAGTTACTAAGATATGGTGAGTTACTGAGATATGGTGAGCTACTAAGATATGGTGTGTTACTAAGATATGATGAGATATTGTGAGTTACTAAGATATGGTGTGTTACTGAGATATGGTGAGTTACTAAGATATGGTGAGTTACTGAGATATGTACATTAGTTACTAAGATATGGTAATTTACTGAGATATGGTGTGTTACTAAGATATGGTGAGTTACTGAGAAACGGCGAGTTACTAAGATATGGTGTGTTACTAAAATATGTTGAGTTACTAAGATGTGATGAGATATTGTGAGTTACTAAGATATGGTGAGTTACTGAGAAATGGTGAGTTACTGAGATATGGTGAGTTACTGAGATATGATGAGTTACTAAGATATGGTGAGTTACTGAGAAATGGTGAGTTACTAAGATATGGTGTGTTACTAAGATCTGTTGAGATATGGTGAGTTACTAAGATATGGTGAGTTACTAATATATAGTGGGTTACAAAGATATGGAGAGTTACTTCGATATCGTGAGTAACTAATGAAGATATATTGAGAGTAACTTAAATAAACATTCGTATCTCATATTTTCATGACTGAAAGTTAATCTATGATTTTTATTTAATCTATGGAGCTCGACTGGCAAATAAATCCGTTGGTTGTCTCTTGTAACTCACAACTTGTTCTGCCTTGAAAATTGGGTCTTTGTATGGTCTTAATGCATTAATGGGTGTCTGGATAGGGGATCCTTTATTTCTGTATTCTAAAAATTTTAGGGAGCTTTTCTTATCTTAAAAAAATAATGCTTATTCTTTAAAATTTTCATGAAAATGATTTTACTATTAAAATGTTCTGTAATTAGATATTTTTTATTCTGTACATCGTTTATTTCTGTAATAAGTATTGTATTACCTATTTTTCTAAGTTATTCTTTATACTATTGCAACCCATTATTTTCTATTCTTTAAATTTTTTGCACCCCATTAATTTTTATTCTCTTTATGATTTGCTCATTTTGCTTTGTGCATTATTTTTTTTTAGCCATTATTCTCTTTTATGTTAGCCCCATCCAAACCCTCATCAACATGGCTTATGAGGATAACAGACACCATTAAAGTATGGTACTTTTTGGGCACGATATTTGTTGATATCATACACCCACCATAAAAGTGGCCGCTATATTGCAATTACCTTGGCCGTTCGTCCGTTCGTCTGTCTTCCAATTATTTTCGTCAGACTTTTTTCATGAACCATTCAACAGAACGACTTCATATTTGGTAGGCTGCTTGACAGTAATGTGAGAGCACTTTTCTGATCTGTCAGACACATACTTGTTGCTTGCAGATACTTTTAAATATTTAAAAATGTGGAATGAACTTTACAAAATGTGTCGCCTATTTCTCCTGTATTGCTGTACAGAATGATTTATTTGATCATCAGCTTCACTATGGTAACTTGTAACGTTAATCTGTAGGACACTTATTATGGTAATTTGTAACGTGGATCTGTAGGGTATTCCTGTTTGGCAATGCAGTTTTACAGTGATAAGTTGTAACGTGTGAGCGCTTTTTCGATCAGTCGGACACCTACTTCATAAAGTCCATTACTTTGAGTGGGAGTAAGCTTAACACAACAACACATGCATTCGTGTTGATTTAAAAAGATGAAAGTTAAAAATAAAAGGGGAATAGTTGTTTTGAACGTTTTGAACCAAGCTTTAGATTATATTATATACAATACCGCAAATAGGTTACAATGAGTCAGGAAAAACTCATGCAATCGTTTATTTGAATACATTTATTTAAAGAAAAAATATTGAAATGTGGTTCAATTCATGTTCTTCTTTTGACCTTTTTCCTGAATTCACAAGAGTTGTCTTTCTTCTCCTAGGAGAAATATTGTAATTATAATATTAATATCTGGACATATTTATTTGTTTTCAGGGTTTTTTTTTTTTTTTGTTTTTTTTTTTTTTTTAGAACTGACTGCCCAGAACTTTGCAATAAATTGAGTTGCTGCAATCGGACACAATTTAAATTTTATGCTGGATTTTTTTTCCTTCATGCTTCTATTTTTTTCAACTCCAATGGTTGACCTGGGTATAGAACCAGGGTCATCTCTTGGACCGTGGGGCATCTGTTTGGCTGTGGTAGATGTATAAATACACGTACAGCAATGTCCAGGTTTAATTCGATGTTTCGAGTTGAGATAGTGCTACGCCCTCTGTCCGTTACAGAACCCTTGCAACAACAAATTGAGGACCCGTATATAAAGTTGGCCTGTTGGAAGGCGAAAATTCTTCCCTCTATTCAACATACCCTCATTTTCCAATGACAATCGAATTTCGCGACCCTTCATCCCGGTCAACTCTCTTTGCATGACTTAATTTTTTGCGTTAATTGTAAATGTGTTCTCGTACCGAATACGCATGAAATATTTGCCACTTGACTTTAAACAAACCTGCAACAATTACTTAATCTATCTTTCTATTATTTACCTTTGTTTACTTGAGATGAAATGAGAACAATACAATGTTATTCACACAGGATAACAACCATTATTACAATCTTGGTCTGGTTTAAATATGTTTCTATAGCCGCTGGACG